TTATGTCCATTTTCTAAAAAAATATGTATAGTCCTCTCATATAACATGTTATAAATGAAGTTAATGAATATTTTTGGAACTTTTAAATCAATTAATTTCTGCCGTAACAGATGCGGAAGAACACTATCATATGCAGAATTTATGTCTAAAAACGCAGATAGAAGGAAATTATTATTTGTGAACGCCAGTCTTATATCAGTAGTTAAAATACTCAAGCTATCTATCGTACCTCTTCCTTTCCTAAAACCAAATTGACTGCTTGCTATTATATTTTTTATTTTCAGCAAGCCATTCAAGCCGGTTTTTCACTAAATGTTCTGCAAGCTTACCTATTACAGATGATAATGCTATTGGCCTGTAAGATGTGGCCTCAGTAGAAAGTTTCCCGGGTTTAAGAATAGCAATGATTTCCTGTGTTTGCCAAGACTTTGGTATATTGCTAGTTGCTATTATGGAATTTAAAAGATTTAAAAAGTAAGACAAAATTTTTTCGTCTAAATTTGAAATAAAAGAGTATATAATACCATCCTCCCCAGGGGCAGAATCCTTAAGATATGATAATATGCCTTTTAATTCTGACATAGAAAACTGCGAGGCTAATTCGGAGTGATCGTTTTTAAATTCACTCTAAATTTGGGTGGCGAAATTCTGGAGCAAAAGGGGGGGCAAGTCGGTCTGTAAAATCTTCAGCAAGATCTATTGGAAGAGATATTGAGGGAGAACTAATTTTACTACATCTGAATCGTCTGATATTTTGCCAGAGAACTGAAGGATTAGTATTAGGAGAGATCGATGAACAGTAATTTTTCCACCCTTCGATTTTCTTCATCTTTAAAATTTTGTGTGTGTTGGTACTTATAACTTGAAAACTTTCAAAATTTTCTGATGTCATAGATGAACAATATTGTCTTTCTGCAGTCTTTCTTTTTTTAACAGCTTCAGAGCATTCTTTATCCCACCATGGCGGGGGTGAAGCTTTTTGGTAGGTATTTTCTTTTAAAGGAAAAGCTTGTTCCGCAGCGTTATTAAGAAAATTTACAAAAGAATTATAGGAGTCAATTTCATAAAATTTTTGGACATCTGGCAAGGTAGAAACGTTCTGTAGTGTGTTGCTTTTGTAAGTTGCCAGCCTTTAGTACTTAATCTGTATTTCATACGTGAACGCGGAACTTTTTGATTTGGAAGGTTATAGAAAGGAAACGAAATAATTATTGGAAAATGATCACTGCCATAAGTAGAAGACAAAATGTCCCACTCTAGAACAGAAGAAAGATTGGGAGTACATATAGATAAATCTACAGCACTCACACTCTCATTCGGTTCTGTACGTCTTGTCGGCTTTGAAGTATTTAGAACACATAAATTATGATGATCAAGGATATCTAACATTAGATCTCCATTAGGATTAGAAAAAGAGCTACCCCAGGATTGATGATGACAGTTAAAATCACCCATAACCAAAAATGGCTTTTTCAGTGAAGATAAGAGATGATTAACTTCATTTAAAACTTGTTGAGATGGGTGAGGAACATAAATAGATACATAACAAACATTATTGTATGAAATCGCAATTGCCGAAAAGTTATCAGAGTGTGGAGGCAGTGGAACATACGTGAAAATAACAGTTTTTTTAATTAAGATTGCTACACCACCATATCCATCCAATCTGTCTTTTCTATGGCAAATGTATCCTTGCATATTAAATGATAAATTTGGCCGCAGCCAAGTCTCCGAAAGAGAGATAAGGAAAGGATTAAATTTGTTAATCAAATATATCAATTCACTTTTTTTATTAACTATGCTCCTGCAATTCCATTGTATAACTTTGGCTTGATTGTCCATTGTTAAGAATTTGTTTAAGAATATCAAATGTTTGAGCAACGTTGTTCGGTGAAATTATTTTACTTAGTAACAAAGAATTAATTAAAGGAATTACAACATCTGTAAATATGTCTTGTTTTTCATTCCCATTGGGTGTTAATGCACATCCGTTAGACGACATTGGCATTTCAAAGTCCTTAATTAGAGCTTGATGAGCTGCTTTGTCATAGCCTTTGTTGAAATGGGGAAGAGGTCGAGTTTTTAAAGAAACTGTCTTTTTATATGAGTTTTTCAATGGTTGGTTAATATGTGATGACAAAGAATGTTGTGGCCTCATAGACTCAGCTGAATATGTGCTAGAGGGAACAGATTTAAGAATGTCAACATAAGACTTAGTGACAGGGGGGAGCATTTTGGAAGCCTCTGCATATGAGATGCAGTTTTGTGCCATGGTCAATTTTATTTGTTTTTGTCTAGCCCATTCAGGACATGATTTGCTAATAGCAAAATGTGACCCAGAACAAAGGAAACAGAAAGCACAGTCATCATCTTTATTGCAAGAGTCACTTGTATGAACATCTCCACACTTAAAGCAGCGTGGTTTGGACCTACATTGAATTTTAGTGTGACCATATCGACAGCAGTTGTAACATTGTATAGTAGGATATGTGTAAAGTTCGACAGATAAAGCATTATAGCACATATAAATGTGTTTTGGAAGAACCTGACCATCAAATGTTATAACTACTGTCTGTGAAGGTTTCCAAACTGGAGACCCATCAACAGTTGTTTTATAATATTAATCGTCTTATTTTTAAAATTTCACCACAACCCATTGGCACAGTTATGTTATTTTTAATTTCATCTGGGGACCATTCAGCTGGCACTCCTCTTACAATACCCATCCTAGTTATGTTGAAGGTTGGAATAAAGGCTTTTAATTTCTGTGTAGACAAAGAAGGATGATTAATAAAAGTGTTAGCATCAGTAAAATTGGAAAATGCAAGGGAAATCTTGTTCCTACCAATTTTTTTTATACTGCCATTGATGATATTCCTAAATGCATTTTTTTTTAGAAAATTGCCAAAGGACACAGGGTGGAATGAAGTACCATCATTAAATGAAGATACTTCTTTTTGAACATGTATAATATAAGGTGATAAGTCACTGTTTTGGTAAATCTTTCTATATTCGACACTAAGTTGCTCGGGCTCTTTTGATTCTGTTGTTACTGGTGATGCAACATTATTTAGAATGGTGCTGTTCTCATCACTATCGCAATGACAGGCATGCTTAGTTTGGTCATTCTTAGTACCAGAATGACTGCTCCTCCTTTTTTTATTGCAATGTTTGCAAATTTTCTGCAAACGTGAGCGTTTTCTAATGATAAGAGTATTCGACGCATCAGTGTCCATACAAGACTCGCCATTAGAAACTTCTACATTGTACGCAACCTCGGGGACTCCACCCCCGGGATCAGGGGGTTCATTCATTATAATAAAATATATAAAACTTACCTAGGTATAGAAATTAAACTATTACTATTAATAATTAACTACACAAAGTAAAAAAATTACATATATACACCCAAAACTTCTCTGATTATTATCACTAAAATTAAATAAATGTGATTTAGAGAAAAAAACGCGCGCTTAGCTTTCAAAGTTTCCCGCCCTTTTTTCATGTGCATAATTGAAAGTTTGAAAGCTTCAAATCCGCACAGATTCACTACTGTCTACAGTCTACCATATGTAATATATTATGCTTTTTTGTGCTTTAAATTGCTTTTTTGTGAAGGTTTTCCAATCGAATTCAAAATAGGACGTACTCAATATCTCAATTCGGTTGTATTTTTAACCGACTTCAAAAAAGGATTTCTCAATTCGTCCGTACATATATTTTTTTATGTGTGTTCGGGGATAACTTCGTCATTTTTGAACCGATTTTGTTGATTATTTTTTTGTTGGAAAGTAGATATCTCAAGGGTGGTACCATAATAATGAAACCCAGATCTGATGGTGTCATCCAAGAGAAATCAAGGGCAATCCTGAAATGTTATAGGCATTGATAATGGTTTATTAGTTTCCTGTTTGAAGGCAGTTTTTTAAATCCAAAGTTCATTGGAATCGTTGTGATAAGAAACTCGATGAATTGAAAATGTGTGACGAAAACAGTTAAGGCGGCCGGAGAACGAGATAGACATTACTAAAAATGACATGATATATGTATTTATTTTGCAATAAATGACTACCGCAATGGTCTATATTATATTGAATAAATGGTTTAGGCAAATTTTATTTAAAAATAGTATTTTTTTATGTAATAAAGTGGCAAACGAGCTGGCGATCCACTTGACGTTTAGTGATTTCCGCCACCCATGGACTTTTGCAACACCCATAGGGTTGTAAATGCGTTGCCGCGTTAAATAAAGTGGTCCCGGTGAGTGAGGTTCACCAGACGAAAGGTGGAAGTGTAACACTTCTACTTTACGCCGGTCTTCTGTGAGGTCGTGCTATTCACCTGGACGGACCTGCCAATTCGTATAACAGTGAACACTATTGCGTGACCCTACCACAGTTAACACCTCCTGAACATGTTCAAATTAATTTAAAAAGCATTTGTATTGTGACAAGAAAGTGGGAAAATATGTGAAGAATTAATGGGCAAAATGTACATCTCCCGTAGTCGAAGCAAAACTTGCGTCAGTATTGACATAGCAATAGGCATAGTACTAATATCTACATCAGCTACCACTGATGACTTTGGCGGCTAAAATATTGTTGGTGGCTTATTATTGCTAGTAGACAGAGCAGGTTAACGCCAGCAACTAAGCTTTAATTGCTTTTATAGTAGGTGGAAATAAACCAGTTGATTTAAATTGCACTTTATTTTAGTGACAATATTTTGGTGTTAGGGCTGTTTAAAGCTACAGACACAGAAATTCGGCTAGATTGGGCTACATAAGCTCATAAAATGGCAACATCAGGCCCAGCATTGTTGGCAACACTAGCTTGACGGAAATGTCATTTGAGCCAAAGAATATAACCATTAACCACTACGTTAACGTCAAAACATCCTGTAATATCTGTAGTTCTATAACTTTAAAATAACAAGAGCAAACTATTAAGTTTTCTCTTTTAATTGTAATTGTTCTTACTAGTGCTCTTAATTCGACAAAAATGGATAAAAGCAAAGAAAAAGAAGAGCAGAGTATTATGGATAAATCTATGAGATCCGTATTTGGTAAATTTCAATTAAAATTTTATAACACGAGTATATTCAATATTAAAAAGCAGGCTAATGTATTTTAAATGTTTCAGTGGGGAATATCCCGTATGAAGCTACGGAGGAAAAACTCAAAGATATATTTAGTGAAGTGGGGCCAGTACTATCTTTTAAACTAGTATTTGACCGAGAAACTGGAAAGCCGAAAGGATATGGATTTTGTGAATATAAAGATCAGGAGACTGCTCTTAGTGCCATGAGAAATTTAAATGGGTATGAAATTGGTGGTCGATCGCTCAGAGTTGATAATGCATGTACAGAGAAATCTAGAATGGAAATGCAAGCCTTGATGCAAGGACCACAGGTATGACAATCCGTTGAACCCCCTTATAATGGTTATATATATGAAAATATGATTTAATTTGAGAATTTTAAAGTTTTTTATAGTGCTAATCTCTGCACTTAAGATTGAACATTAAAACATGTAGAAAAAGTACGAAAAGATTATCGCCGCTGTGGGCCGAACACGTGGGTTAGATGCCCACAGCAGCGACAATCTTTTCGTACTTTTTCTACATGTTTTAATAATTTGAGAATGTTTATTTTGAAAATGTTTCCAGGTAGAAAACCCATATGGTGATCCAGTGGAACCAGAAAAAGCACCCGAGGCAATCAGTAAAGCAGTTGCTACTCTGCCACCAGAACAAATGTTTGAACTTATGAAGCAGATGAAACTATGTGTTCAAGTATATATTAGTCACTTCATAAAGTTGTAAAATTAGAACCGGGGCACATATAACTCTTGTAGGAATAGTATATTTGTAAAATATTAACTGATTATGTAGTTACTTAAATATCAAGATAATCTTGGCCTATGGTGTATAGAGCACAGGATAGCATTATATGTGTGAGTTTATACTGCAGTACAGTGCAGTACCTTTTGTCAAAAACTGGATTTTCAAGGAATAATTTATTTTTTGGCTACCTACTGAATACTGAATGTTCGGCGGGCTAGCTAGCCTAATAAGCAAGCATTAGGCAAAAGTGTTTGACCAGTGCATAGGGACATCTTTTATCAACATGACTCATTCTAGTTTTTTCAAATGTACATCCATGCCACTACAAGTTTTTGATTTTGTCTGTACACACAAAGAATGTGAAGCACAGTTCTTCTAATTCTCTGCATTTTAACTAGTTATATAAGGTCTGAGTAATAATAATTGATTAAAGCCTCTAAAAAGATTACCTCTATGGTGGTAATACTTCGAGGAAACGAAAATTATCCAAGTGACATGTAGAAAGAAAACTTCAGTCTAAATATTTATTAAGACATTTATCTACTGTCTGAGTATTTCTGCTCTATAATTTTTCACCTCTAAGCTATGATTATTTGTCGCACATCTATTTTTAATAACAAACAATCCTAAAATTTTAAAGTTTTTTATAGTGCTAATCTCTGCACTTAAGATTTGAACATTAAAACATGTAGAAAAAGTACGAAAAGATTGTCGCCGCTGTGGGAATCGAACCCACGTCTTCGGCATTCGCGGCCTGACGCTCTAGCCACTGAGCTAAACGGCTGATACCCACAGCGACGAAAATCTTAACGCCTTCTTTCTACATTGTTATTTAGCATTTGAAGCAATGCTTGGCGCATCTATTGTTATATCCTTTCCAGCATACAAACAATTTCGAATATCGTTTTACAACGATAATTCGAACGAGAGATGTCGCCATTGCTTTTTTATAAATTTTAAAGTTTTTTATAGTGCTAATCTCTGCACTTAAGATTTGAACATTAAAACATGTAGAAAAAGTACGAAAAGATTGTCGCCGCTGTGGGAATCGAACCCACGTCTTCGGCATTCGCGGCCTGACGCTCTAGCCACTGAGCTAAACGGCTGATACCCACAGCGACGAAAATCTTAACGCCTTCTTTCTACATTGTTATTTAGCATTTGAAGCAATGCTTGGCGCATCTATTGTTATATCCTTTCCAGCATACAAACAATTTCGAATATCGTTTTACAACGATAATTCGAACGAGAGATGTCGCCATTGCTTTTTTATAAATTTTAAAGTTTTTTATAGTGCTAATCTCTGCACTTAAGATTTGAACATTAAAACATGTAGAAAAAGTACGAAAAGATTGTCGCCGCTGTGGGAATCGAACCCACGTCTTCGGCATTCGCGGCCTGACGCTCTAGCCACTGAGCTAAACGGCTGATACCCACAGCGACGAAAATCTTAACGCCTTCTTTCTACATTGTTATTTAGCATTTGAAGCAATGCTTGGCGCATCTATTGTTATATCCTTTCCAGCATACAAACAATTTCGAATATCGTTTTACAACGATAATTCGAACGAGAGATGTCGCCATTGCTTTTTTATAAATTTTAAAGTTTTTTATAGTGCTAATCTCTGCACTTAAGATTTGAACATTAAAACATGTAGAACAAAGTACGAAAAGATTGTCGCCGCTGTGGGAATCGAACCCACGTCTTCGGCATTCGCGGCCTGACGCTCTAGCCACTGAGCTAAACGGCTGATACCCACAGCGACGAAAATCTTAACGCCTTCTTTCTACATTGTTATTTAGCATTTGAAGCAATGCTTGGCGCATCTATTGTTATATCCTTTCCAGCATACAAACAATTTCGAATATCGTTTTACAACGATAATTCGAACGAGAGATGTCGCCATTGCTTTTTTATAAATTTTAAAGTTTTTTATAGTGCTAATCTCTGCACTTAAGATTTGAACATTAAAACATGTAGAAAAAGTACGAAAAGATTGTCGCCGCTGTGGGAATCGAACCCACGTCTTCGGCATTCGCGGCCTGACGCTCTAGCCACTGAGCTAAACGGCTGATACCCACAGCGACGAAAATCTTAACGCCTTCTTTCTACATTGTTATTTAGCATTTGAAGCAATGCTTGGCGCATCTATTGTTATATCCTTTCCAGCATACAAACAATTTCGAATATCGTTTTACAACGATAATTCGAACGAGAGATGTCGCCATTGCTTTTTTATAAATTTTAAAGTTTTTTATAGTGCTAATCTCTGCACTTAAGATTTGAACATTAAAACATGTAGAAAAAGTACGAAAAGATTGTCGCCGCTGTGGGAATCGAACCCACGTCTTCGGCATTCGCGGCCTGACGCTCTAGCCACTGAGCTAAACGGCTGATACCCACAGCGACGAAAATCTTAACGCCTTCTTTCTACATTGTTATTTAGCATTTGAAGCAATGCTTGGCGCATCTATTGTTATATCCTTTCCAGCATACAAACAATTTCGAATATCGTTTTACAACGATAATTCGAACGAGAGATGTCGCCATTGCTTTTTTATAAATTTTAAAGTTTTTTATAGTGCTAATCTCTGCACTTAAGATTTGAACATTAAAACATGTAGAAAAAAGTACGAAAAGATTGTCGCCGCTGTGGGAATCGAACCCACGTCTTCGGCATTCGCGGCCTGACGCTCTAGCCACTGAGCTAAACGGCTGATACCCACAGAATCAGTTCTATCGGCGACAATCTTTTCGTACTTTTTCTACATGTTTTAATGTTCAAATCTTAAGTGCAGAGATTAGCACTATAAAAAACTTTAAAATTTATAAAAAAAGCAATGGCGACATCTCTCGTTCGAATTATCGTTGTAAAACGATATTCGAAATTGTTTGTATGCTGGAAAGGATATAACAATAGATGCGCCAAGCATTGCTTCAAATGCTAAATAACAATGTAGAAAGAAGGCGTTAAGATTTTCGTCGCTGTGGGTATCAGCCGTTTAGCTCAGTGGCTAGAGCGTCAGGCCGCGAATGCCGAAGACGTGGGTTCGATTCCCACAGCGGCGACAATCTTTTCGTACTTTTTCTACATGTTTTAATGTTCAAATCTTAAGTGCAGAGATTAGCACTATAAAAAACTTTAAAATTTATAAAAAAGCAATGGCGACATCTCTCGTTCGAATTATCGTTGTAAAACGATATTCGAAATTGTTTGTATGCTGGAAAGGATATAACAATAGATGCGCCAAGCATTGCTTCAAATGCTAAATAACAATGTAGAAAGAAGGCGTTAAGATTTTCGTCGCTGTGGGTATCAGCCGTTTAGCTCAGTGGCTAGAGCGTCAGGCCGCGAATGCCGAAGACGTGGGTTCGATTCCCACAGCGGCGACAATCTTTTCGTACTTTTTCTACATGTTTTAATGTTCAAATCTTAAGTGCAGAGATTAGCACTATAAAAAACTTTAAAATTTATAAAAAAGCAATGGCGACATCTCTCGTTCGAATTATCGTTGTAAAACGATATTCGAAATTGTTTGTATGCTGGAAAGGATATAACAATAGATGCGCCAAGCATTGCTTCAAATGCTAAATAACAATGTAGAAAGAAGGCGTTAAGATTTTCGTCGCTGTGGGTATCAGCCGTTTAGCTCAGTGGCTAGAGCGTCAGGCCGCGAATGCCGAAGACGTGGGTTCGATTCCCACAGCGGCGACAATCTTTTCGTACTTTTTCTACATGTTTTAATGTTCAAATCTTAAGTGCAGAGATTAGCACTATAAAAAACTTTAAAATTTATAAAAAAGCAATGGCGACATCTCTCGTTCGAATTATCGTTGTAAAACGATATTCGAAATTGTTTGTATGCTGGAAAGGATATAACAATAGATGCGCCAAGCATTGCTTCAAATGCTAAATAACAATGTAGAAAGAAGGCGTTAAGATTTTCGTCGCTGTGGGTATCAGCCGTTTAGCTCAGTGGCTAGAGCGTCAGGCCGCGAATGCCGAAGACGTGGGTTCGATTCCCACAGCGGCGACAATCTTTTCGTACTTTTTCTACATGTTTTAATGTTCAAATCTTAAGTGCAGAGATTAGCACTATAAAAAACTTTAAAATTTATAAAAAAGCAATGGCGACATCTCTCGTTCGAATTATCGTTGTAAAACGATATTCGAAATTGTTTGTATGCTGGAAAGGATATAACAATAGATGCGCCAAGCATTGCTTCAAATGCTAAATAACAATGTAGAAAGAAGGCGTTAATAAGATTTTCGTCGCTGTGGGTATCAGCCGTTTAGCTCAGTGGCTAGAGCGTCAGGCCGCGAATGCCGAAGACGTGGGTTCGATTCCCACAGCGGCGACAATCTTTTCGTACTTTTTCTACATGTTTTAAAATCCTAAAATGCTAAAGCCTAACTTAGGAATATATATTTAAAGTAGATGAATGCGAAAATTAGGTGGTGTTTTTTGTGTTACTGCTATTAGAACCTTTAATTGTTCCTTAGTGAATCCATAATTAAAAAAAAATATTTTCAAACGAACTAATTAAAAAAAAAGAAACAAAATTTGTAACACCTTTACACCTACAACTGACTGATTCGTTCAGAGACTTTTTGTTCATTCGTTGTCACATTATGTTACAAGTCTCTCTTTTTAACAGTATATACAGTGTGTCTTTACAATCGGAACATTAAATGAACAAACATATAGAAGAAAATTTTTTAAAATTGTATTCAACATATACTTTCATTAACATCAATATTTACTGAGTTATTAAATTTTCCAAAATAAGGTATTTTTGAACACCCTGTACATATAAAACTGTAACGTAAAGTTCATTTGTAAAGGTCACAAAGCATATGAATGGGTTGAATGAATTTGAAAGAGACAAAACATACTGTTAGAAGGAGATGCTTGTAATGCAACACTGGCAACGAATGAAAAAGTCTCTGAATGTATGAATCAGTCAGTTGTAGTTGTACAGGATGTTACAAATTTTGTTCCTTTTTTACTTAATTAGTTTGTTTGAAAAATATTTTTATTAATTATGGATTTTTTTCAATGTTAATATTTTTTAGGATTATTAGCAAGTAGCGTTAAATGTGTGTTCATTTACTGTCGCGATTGTAAAGACACACTGTATAATCTCTTTAAAATTCATTCAACCAATTCATATGCTTTGTGAACTTTAAAAATGATCTCTATGTTACAGTTTTATATGAAGGGGTTTTCTTAAATTATTTGTTTTCGAAAATTAAATAGTTCCGTAAAAATTGATGTTTAATGAAAGTTAATGTTTAATACAATTTTAAAAAGTGATTATTTATGGTCGCGATAGTAGCGCCACGTTTTATAAGATATATTTATTTAGGACATTATTGACTTTTGCTTTCTTGAGATATAAAATGTACAAAAGGTGTAGGTCTCTCCATTTATACATTTATTTTATTTATTAAAAAAAACGTAATTATAGTCCTAAATGTTTGTTTTTGTATAATGCCTTTAACCCATTAACGCATATGGTTTAACTGCCTTTCAATTAAATTAAATTGCAGAACAATCCATCTGAAGCGCGAAACATGCTTCTCCAAAATCCTCAATTGGCGTATGCTCTACTTCAAGCTCAAGTTATTATGAGGATTGTTGATCCTGCTACAGCAGTTGTAAGTATCTACTAAGATAACACATTGTATATGCAAAATATTCCTTTTATTTTAATATTGAATTCTATCCATCAAATGCTAAGTTTTTTCATCAATTTCAGCAGGTCATGGTTCTATACATGTCATGGTTATACTAGGTAGCTTTTATATTTATTAAAGTGGCTTAGGAGTTATACCTGTTAGGTTTGGATTAAATAAGCTTGGAAAAAATGGAACATGTTCTTTTCTACCCCATTAAATTTTATTATTTCTTTCTTTATCAAATTATTTCTTGTCAATAGATTTAAATTTTTGAAATTGATTGAATATTTAAATACAGAGACTTTTATACTTGTTTCATGGTAATTGCTAAATAATGTAATTAGATCACGATTTTCTACAGTATACAGCGTGTCCTTACCGTCGCGACAATAAATGAACACATGTCTATCGCTACTTGCCAATAATCATAAAAAATATTAACGTTAAACAAAATCCATAATTAAAAAAATATTTTTCAAACAAACTAATTAATTAAAAAAGAAACAAAATTTGTAACATCCTATACAACTCGCGCTACAGCGTCGCCCTACAAATCTCTCCTTCTAACAGTATGTTTTATCTCTTTCAAATTCATTCAACCCATTCATATGCTGTGTGACCTTTACAAATGAACTTTACGTTACAGTTTTATACGTAAGGATGTTCTAAAATTCTTTGTTTTGAAAAATTTAATGTAACTCTGTAAATATTGATGTTTAAAGAATGTAAATGTTTAATACAATTTTAAAAACTTATCCCCTATATGCTTGTTCATTTATTGTCGCGATTGTAAAGACACGCTGTATAACTAATAACTATATTATATTTTGTATTATTTTATTTTTTATATCAATAAAATATTGTATTAATTATTTATATTTTAGAGTATGCTTCACCCTAGCAATCCTGTGCCACCAGTTCTGCAGCCAGGTGACAAGCCTCCTCTACTAAACAATTATGTTCCAACAAATCAGCAACAAGGTAATGGTTAATACTTTTTACTATAAGTTTTTATTCAATCCACTAGGCATTCGATATTTTGTTAAGTTTCTGGTGGCTCTGACTTAGCTCTTACTTGAAGAGCTTAGTCATAATATTTCTTTGATTTCAAAAGTATATTTTATATTTAAAGATTTTTTATTTATTTTTGATAAAAGCATTACAAACAGGTATGAAGAATACTTACCTTATAAGTATCAGAATTCATAAGAATTATTAAGCTTACTAACAATAAAATCTTTTTCTGGTTGCACATAATCAAAGTACTTATGAGCTGTATTAGTAACATAAAATGAGCAAGACAGTATTTCCTGCTGTCCCACCATCTGCAGCTTTCTAAAACGCATATTTGGCTGCACATGGAGTACTGTTCTCAACTCGTGTCTGGGGCGGACTAATACCAGCTCTTCCCATTTGACCGCATAAAACGTAGAACTGGTCGAATTGTTGGAGACAAAAGGACCTCCTTTTCAATAATCTCGACCCTTTTGCTTCATGGCTACTACCTCAGTGGTTGGCAGTCCACCACTGTGCGTTTATCAAGTATATTTACTGCCACGCACAACCAAGTTGTGGAATCAATTCGGAACCAATATATATACCCAAACATATTATCAGGTTATTATTGCATAGTAATATTGTATTTATGCATTGTTAAATGAAATATTTATGAATTGTGAATCATATTATAATTCTGTCTGTTTAATTTTAATAATAATCATATTATAATTAAAATTAAATATTTATAAATTGAAAATCTGTGAATTGGAAGATTTAGAATATTTAACTATTTTCAGCCCAACAACCGCCTTTGCTGAGTACTCCTGTTCCACCACCAAATCAATATGTTCGTAAGTACTACATGTCATGTTATCTACAAGCCTACAATTACATCAATGTAATAAATGATATTATCATTACAAAAGATTTGATGAGCTCATTGTCATATTTGCCGAAGGACTTACTTAAAATGGATTCAAGTTAAGTCAAGTGCTTCATCATTTCATAAATACCATTGAACATATACAATATCTTATAACAAACAATCTGAATCCAACTTGTGCTCACAATGTTAATCTGTGTGCTGTGAAGGATTAGATGGCGCAATCTAGAACTGCTAAAAATTCAATAGAAAGAACGCAGAACGATGAAGAGATTTTCGCCTCGTGTGATCATTGACGACGCAGGTTCAAATCTCGCGTTTTATTTTGAACAAGAATGAAGAAAAATAAGTTTATGGCCCATGGGTATGTGTATACAGGTGTTGTTTTCTTCTGCAGCTCGGGCCGCGATGGCGGACGTGGACTTGAGGGGAGGGCGCGTTCCCCCCGCGCCCCCCACCGCCGTCGCTCCTCCGCCCCTCCTCGACCAAGACATGCGCAGCCTGCCACCGGTGCCGCACCCCGTTCCGCCCCCCGTGCCACAAGATAAGTACGTGTGCTGGCAACACTAGTAGTTATATGGCTCCTTGGCGCAGCTGCTAAGTTATCGGCTTCGTCGCCAATGGTCGTGGGAACGATTCCCGCACGAGACGACTATTTGTTGGACCGACGAGAAATTGTTTCGGGTCTGGGTGTTTGTCCACGTGGAGTTTATGTTTTAAAACGTCCTTACAACACAAGTAATGTTATGTAAGGGAGGACTAGATCTATCTAGGTTGCGGTGATCGTTGGGATTTACTGCCCAGGCCAACCCCTTCCAAACACCTGACAGACACTAGAGACCGCCCGACCGTTATTCTATAAAACTGTTTTATAAGAAGTATGCTCACAAGAAATCATTATGTGAACTGGAAAGGAATGAATTGGAAATTGACAATTGTTTTAGTTCTGGAATATCCCTCCTGATGGTGATACAGATGTTAACAAACGCAACTCAGTGGAAACATTTTCTCTTCAAGATCTCTAAGTTGTTCCTATCAGATCTATCAGAAAGATAAAAAACTGCAAAATACAAAAATATTCGACACTGACCTCTTTTTGTGTTGCCGAAACAAAAATATTATAAAAAATATTTAAATATTTTAAAAATGTGTGCGATGTATGTGCAAGCGGTCCTTAAACTTAATATGCTTCATTTTTGTGTGCGTAGTGTAGCCGCAGAGACCTGTTTTTTTCTAGTCCTTGGTTTCATCTTCTTGTTTTTAACATTGAATATATAACGAGAATTTTTTAAACTATTTATTCTTTACAAATTTGAATTACCGTAACAATTAAAATAATGTATATTTGAATAATTTATTTTTATCCCTACTGTCTTCAATGGGTGTGTGGGGTCTGGGTCGTATTACGATAAATGAGATCATATAAACTAAAATAAATAGCCTCATTTAATAGTTAGGGGTCTATATAAACGCAATTTTGACCCGGACTTTTTTAGTCATTAGTTTTTACTTTGTCATTGAAACTACCAATAATATAATTAATTACCAATATGAAAACATTTTTTCAAGTCTATCCACTACTGTGGAAACCCGTGAAATGTAAGTGTTAGTGTTATCATAAATAAGTACATATTCAATAATCTATTTTTTAGAAATATATATTTATGTTTTATAGAAACTGATTTTTTATTTATACACTCAGTGTATTTGAATTATAAATTTTATGATGTTGCAGCACTTGCATGTTATTATTTATTTCGTAGGTAATTAATAATAATATAAATAACGTAATTTTAATTGCATTTCAATATTTATTTCTGATTTCCCTGAATTCGGTAGAAAAAATTGTCAAAAAAGTTTTTCGAATATATTTAATGTGTCGTACGTTGATACTGTCACTACTCCATTTTACGTAGTCTTATTTGTATCGTTCTCATGTTTGTATTTTAAAATTGATATATTATTTACCTTTAGCATGTTCCCGCGAGACCCCCGTCTTGCAGGTTCCCAGGGTTTCAACTCAGATCCTCGCGTTCGTTCAAACGATCCACGAAATCAAGCCAAGATGCCACAACGTGAGTGCATATCAAAAAAATTATAATTTTAAAACAATGAGAGCTCAAAATGTGTTTTCAGATCAGCAGTAGCCATTTCCTATACTTCTTGGGCCTCTATTCTCTCCTATACATTCTTTGTGAAAAAATAATCGTTGTCGTTTTTCATTAGAACACTAGTATTAATTAGTTTATTGTGTTGCCAGAACAAATGCCACCCGGAATGCCGAGCGTCGCACAGGCTAGGACAATCCAAGGTATACCTTCCGGAGCATCAGATCAAGAGAAAGTAAGTAACTTTAGTTTCATAATTTTATTGAATTTGAAGCTGTACTTATATGTTTAAGGTATAAGTTTTTTATAGAAATGGTCATTATTCATTAACAGAATAAATGTAATAGATGCATTTATTACATTTATTCTGTTAATGAACAATGACCATTTCTAATAAATTTACTTGACTAATTACTTATCGTTCTTTTATTTTTTTACAGGCCGCCTTAATTATGCAAGTCTTGCAATTATCAGACGAGCAAATAGCGCTGTTGCCGCCCGAACAACGCGCTAGTATTCTTATGCTTAAAGAACAGATAGCGAAAAGTACCCAGCAGCGTTAAGTGGAATTTCAAAAACATTTTTCGTATACCATTTTAATTACATTATGTAAAAATAAAAAAATAGACTTCTTTATGCGTTTCACTGTCCACTATAAATACTCCATTATTTAATTTTTAAAGTTATACTGCATTTGGCGCGGTTGGTAAAAATGATGAGAGTGAATTTAAATATGCGCGACACCAAGTTTATGGTGTTACCATGGAATTGCAATTAATGTTAATTAAATTTGAATCTTACGTAAAACAAATTAATTACCATTTAGCCGCAAAAAACAATATTATTTTGGACGTTTACAAAACTAAACAAAATAATTTATAGTCGTGGTGAACGATCGTATTTAGTATCTTGTATTGTTTATCACTTTTATGTATCTCTAAGGTACTGTTTGCGTTGAAAGGTGTGGCGTTGTCAATCGTTTATTTATTTATTCATTTATTTTATAATTTATGTACAGAGGTAATTATGGCAGAAATGTAAATACATGAAAGAATTTGTACAAAGGCCCTGCTTATTTCTTAATAAATTTCTTCCAGCAGACGTGTGACTGGAAGTTGGTTACAAATGTTAGTTAGTTGTGTACATACATTAATTATAAGTACCTGGAGGACTTTGGTAAATCGTGTGTTTTGGAAATTACATTTAGACAAAAAGATTTAGTAATGAAATATGCATAACATTTTACGATCTTACCGACGTATACAGCGTGTCGTTACCATCGCGACAATAAATGAACACACGTCTAACGCTACGAGCCAATAGTCATAAAAAAATATTAACGTAAAACAAAATCCATAATTAAAAAAAAATATTTTTCAAACAAACTAATTAAGTAAAAAAGAAACAAAATTTCTAACATCCTATACAACTCGCGCCACAGCGTCGTATTACAAGCCTCTCCTTCTAACAGTATGTTTTGTCTCTTTTAAATTCATTCAACCCATTCATATGCTTTGTGACCTTTACAAATGAACTTTACTTTACGCTTTTACAGGTAAGGGTGTTATAAAATTTGATAACTCTGTGAATATTGATGTTTAAAGAATGTAAATGTTTAATACAATTTTAAAAAGTGCTCCCCTATATGTGTGTTCATTTTTTGTCGCAATTGTAAAGACACGCTGTATAAGTTTTCTATACTCACTAGCGAGCTACACAACTTTTAATGTGGTTTCCTGTCAAGCGGCTTCTGGCGTTTGGTACGGTTATATTACAAGGTTGAATTAACACTTTCGGAAGACTCTTGAAGAAGCCTCAGAAGCCTGGCAAATTAGGAAGTAACGATATAAGCGGTAGGATTAGATCATTATTTATCCTAAATTTTAACGGATCAAAATATCTCGGGAGAGGTTGACCGATTTTTTTTACAAACGAAACGCAAAGAGCGTAAGGAATATCGAAAAACATTAAATATTAAAGTAGAGTTGCATCGAAATTGATATGAATTCGATCTTATATAAATATCGAATATGGATTTATTCCCTTTAAAATATCCATATTAGCTCATCCCTAAACAACACTAACAGTCTCTAACATTCATGGAAGAATTATTTTTATTATTTGACTGATCCAAAAGGATGCGCAATAATTACAGTGGTGAAATATCTTCTGTGATTTTTTTATAAAAAAAATATGCTATATTTTAATACACGAAACATCATATTTACCTATTCTTATAATATAATAAATAACAATCTGCAAATTGTTATTATAATATCTAGAGATGGATTAAATATATCGAATTTTTATAATTTTAGATACATTTTTAATGCAACTAGCGCCATATTTAATGTATGTGGAGCTTGTAACTTTTCACATGCTCGTTACCCTAAACTCTCCTCAAGACATCTACAGATCCGTTCAAGTTTAGGATAAATTATCAGCATTAATAAATAGTTGTTAAAAATAGCATAAAATAAAGATACTATTATATTATTAAAGATTCTGTTTAAAAATATCGGTATATATTATTCACTTGTTCATCCCTACGATTAATAAAGATGTAATAACCACAGATAAAAAACGAAGCAATAAACAATTATGACAGTGACAGTGAACCATTCACTCAGCATATTTTTTAACGTCTGCGGTAGGTGCCTGTTTAATTTCTCACTTCCGTTTAGAAAAGCGCGTGTAGTTCAATTCCTTATTGTCATCGCTCTGCTATTAGTGTAACTTTGGCAAATAACATAGGCAGTGATTAGTGTTAACTTCATGTGGGTTTTTATTACAAATTCGTAGTTTTAATAAGGTAAAGATTTGTTTTATTTAAAAAAAATGATTTTATTAAAAATTAAATATATAGAGTACTTATTTTTGTAACTAAATGTTACAAGAATTTCTTGTAATTTTAATATTTTCCTTTGGCATTCCATCTACACTCCATAAAATCCTAAACACAGTGTAATTAATTAATCAGAAACAATTCTTAGCGCTTTAGAACGATTTCAAACTTTAAAATGATTGTCAATAATTATTATACACTCTTCCTTAATTTCGATGGCGTTAATGTAATGTTTCTTGCATAAGCATTTTAACTACTTTTTTTTAAGCTTTAGAACAGTTTTCAAATATCTTCACCTTTTTAACAATCGAACCCGGAGCCCGCGTCGGCGCAAAGTTTGATCGCTTAATGCACTGTGCAAATTTAGTATATTTATATTATTTAATTCTATTACATTTTGGCGCACAAAACTTTTGTCCTAATAAACAAAAATGAACTTGACTTGTATGTAGTACGAACATACGAAACCAGAGTAATTAGACAGTTCAATGTTGCGTAGCTGTATTTATTTCGACTCAAAGAAATAATTATAGCTCGTAGGTGTCGAACTCACAAGGTCATCACTGTTAATTCCATGCGAATAATAACGTTTATTCTTCTATAGACTCCATGTATTTTTAGTGACGGTTCTTTTAAAAACTTAAATAGACAATAAAGAAGCATAATAAAAATTCAATAATGTGTTTTTATTTACGGAAATAGTTCTTAGAATTATAATTTTAATATTTTGTTATCGATGATTGTTAAGCCTCTTTGGAATAGAAACATATTTGCTGTGTCATATATTATTATCAGACTAAATAATTCATAGGGAAAAACATAATGCAATAGGAATAACATAATGCAAAGTTTTCGATGTACGTTATGAAAATGTGCCAACGCTTTATGGGACTCGTTTATAAAGAATACTTGTAGTAATTTCAAAGTGAATATTTAATGTATGTGACGAACTTTAAATCACGTTAATGTTGTTTGGAAAAATTTGGTTTACTTAAGATTTCTATATCTAACATTTAAATCAGATTTAGTTGATGTTTATTCTTTAGGCCATTTGATATTGTTGTTTGTAACTATAATGGAGGTTAGAATAATATTAGATAATAAGCTTACATACAGAGCTAACAGGTAAATTGACCTACCGAGGAAAAATAATCGAAGGGGCCAGCCCATGTAATTCACAGCTAGATATTTTCAGACCTTATAAAACAAAAGATGGGTCATGAGTGGTGCATTTTTAGGGTTCCGTATCCAAAGAGTAATATGGGACCCTATTACTACGACTTCGCTGTCTATCTGTCCGTCTATCACCAGACTTTATCTCATGAACCGTGATAGTTTAGATGTATTTCTGTTGCCGTTATAAAAAGAAACCTGATCTTATATATATAACAGAATAAAATAAATTATACTTAGGGGTTACATACAAAAACGCGATGCGGCTGCTAGGCAACCTATACGTACTTGCCAATTAGTTTATTATAGATAATGGTACGGAACCCTTCGTGCGTGAGTCCAACTCACTTTAACCGGTTTTTTCATTTATGAAGTGATGCCGTAAAATGTAATGTTGGCGCTCTCGACTATAGGGAGAGCGATCTTTTCACGAACTCTACTTAGCTGAGTCCAAACTACCCAGTTTCGAACACATGCGCAATGTTGTCTTCCCTCTCGGTATTCGAGAAAATTTCGGGCAGTGTGACAATGTATCCAAGAAATGTGTGGTTGTCACTTTAAAAAGACTCTTCAATGGACACGCGCTAACTTATTGTCACCATCGACTTCATCTGAGTAAAAAAACATTACAAGGTTCAATGACTCTGGGCGGAACCTTTTCGATCTTATCGCATAGACGGTGCAACGGAATGAAACTTTTCTTGCATTACCACATCCTCTGCTGCACAAATTTACGATGGCCGCACATTAGTGCGTTCGTTATATATACTTTAATTTTAAAAAAGAATTCCGTTTCAGAGTCGGTCTAAAAAAAGAACAAAGATGAGGTGGAACCTTTTTGCGGTCACGCTATGCCTACTCTATCTTCACACGCAATCCAAACAACTGTCTGCAGAAGAATACAGGTACCGGAGGAATCTGCTAAGGGAACACACAAATGACGTGTCTCAGAGGAAGTCGAACCACCACAAGAGCTCCGCCAACCCCCCCGACCACAACAAGCTGGTAGAGATGGCGAGATACGTGATGCACAACTGCGGTATAATTACCATGATTATTTTTGTGTGAATGTTTCGTATGGAAGTTCGTGGTTCTAACGGTTTGGTAATACGCCCGTAGATTGGGCGACTATAGCCACCATATCGATCCAGCCAGCTATCGAAGGCTTCCCGTTTTCCAACGTCAAATCTATCGTGGACGGCTCTCTGGCGAACTCGACCGGCATGCCTTACTTTTACATGTCACCTTTGGATTTCACCGCGCGCGATTTGACGGTAAGTTCAATCGGGGCGAGTCAGGGTGGCTATTTTTAAAATGTTACGCAAACATTTGAAAGTGCTCAGCAATTGTAGTAATTGAAAGAAAACCCGTTTTACGAACCTGACACAGTTATGGACATTCACTGATGTACTTAATTACGCCTGAACCAATTTAAGCAGCTTTTTTTGTTGTAAATTAAGAATTCGGACCTTGGACTCGAATCTTAAAATAGACTGTAGTTTTAAAATAGTTGTATTACATGAAATAAAAATGAAAGGCCTAAAAATATATTTTTTTTATGTGAGAAGGTGGCAAACGCGCTGGCGGTTCACCTGATGTTAAATGATGAACACCGCCCATGGACATTTGCAACATCCGCGTGGTTGCAGATGCGATGCCACGTTTTAATAAAGTGAGCTCCGCCTACGTTACGCACCAGGCGAAACGCAAAAGTATAACACTTCCACTTCACGCCGGTCTTCTGTGAGGTCGTAGTACTTCCCCGGATGCACCTGCCCATTCGTGCAACAACGAAGACTTGCGTATTCAGAAACATAAACAAGACATTTTGACCAGCTACTATGATCTCATAAGTTATGATTCTTTACTTTGAATTTGAGCTCATGAGCAAAAGCCAAAGTATAAATAAAGCTTGAAAAAATTTTATTACGCATTAAATTATTAAGGACTGTGTTAACCCCATAAACATCAATTGGCACCTGTATCATCACTAAGGTAAAATTCAGAAATAAAATTAACACTTGAGATTTTGGAAAAACGAATGTTTTACAAATCTTTTCTTAGTATGTTGTGTCACGAAAGCTGATCGACCGAATTGATATTTTGTTCTCTCAGCACTTTTGCTTTTTCGATTGTGAAACAGACAATCGCTTGTTATGTTTTCCTTCACATAAAATGTTTAACAAATATCTTTGGAGGTAGGGATCATGTTATTGAATTAATCAAAAGATTTAATAATTGCTTAAGGTGACAAAATAAAACTATTCTTAAAAAAAACCACTCTTGCTAACTCTCTTAAGTGTGTTTATGCTCTTAAAAATATTGCCTAGGGATTGAAATATTGTTAAGAATTGAATTCAAAAGCACGATTGAAGCCCAACTTACAATTGGAAGGTTCAACTTACAAGGTTTCAAAGCCGCGAAATGGCTGAAAATAAAATTGTTTCAAATAGACCCTTTTCGGAATCGGACTGTACAGTTCCTCGTACACAGAAACATAAAGTCACTATTAGGATGCGTATGTAATTGTGTGAATAAAATATTAACGCTGACCAAGTTTATTTTTTTTTTGGATAGAAAAACACACGGGCCACCGTTCTTGTGTCCCTCGAGGAGACAAGATACTGCGAGAGTCAAAAGTGGGACCCCGAAGACCCGCGATGCACCAGACTTATGCTCTCCGGTAAAATGAAGAAGGTAAGTATTTTAAACGGCTCCATACACCGCTGAGGTCGTTCGATCCAGCATGATTTTGTTTTAAATAATATTATTGGAAAGGGAAACCGACATAACTCAGAAGGTTCCAAAGCTGAAGTGGCCATATAGCTCATAGAACTGAAAACCGTTGGGAAGAAAGGTTTTCCAGTGGCGGCCTCGTATTAGCCATCGCAGTATAGTACGATAGGTGCTGGTAGGCCCCAATAGATGATGATAGTCGAAATTGTCCCGTAGTATTGATGCCACCACTCAAGATTTTGAGGATCTATATTTCAACAACCTCTTATGATATGATCAATATTTTAATTTTATATTTGTATAAAATTTACCCGGACGGGAATCCAATCTTTAATGCTTAGTGGCATAAAGAACGACATTCGTGAATCACTTGGTAGCGGACATGACTTTGGAGAAAGAATGAAAATAATAAAGTATAACTTACGCTTTTAATACGTATTGAAATTTTATATGCCTAATGGCTGGATGAAGCATTATTTATAGGTCATTGGTCATGATCAAGTGGTCTGACTAGGGCACAATATTCCGTGTTTAAATATAAGTGACTGCGCATTTTGAGATTCTAGTATTAATATATGTATTTAATTATTAAAGTTATTTAGAAAACCATATACATATTGTGTTTTCGGTAAAGAAGCCCGTTCTAAAAAAGTGGCACATATATTTGCGGGTGAAATAGACCCGGTAAAGAAAGTGTTCACAGTAAAATTTAGGTATAATTAAAGTGATAAGATAGTAATGAGGTTTAAGTAATATGCTAATCAAGGTCGTACGTATAAAAATAAACATGTAATCGGAAATGTCGTTAAGACCAATGCCATTTTAGGCCATCGCGGGTCCTAGGGCACACAAGAATTTGGGGCCCTGTTGGAGAGTAAAAAAGGTTTGTTGCAAAAGTTACAAATACCTAACGTCAAGCGTGAAATTATACCTAAAATTTTATAGTTTTCCAGAGAGCACACTTGGTGTTCCGTGGAAAATATAACCTATCTAATTTTTATCACTTGGCCATTTAAATATACTGTTTCTATGACATTAAATATATGACCTGTTTTATACATTTTTTCACCTTTAAATACATTTTAACCATTAACGCGATTAGGCTGGGTCGTGTCAATATTTTGTGTACAGTCTTTCTGTCATCTCTTGTGTCAAAATCGGCAACATCGGCCTTGCGGGACCCCTCTGACGATACAAACCCTGGACACGGCCCCCTGTGCCCGCCCTTATGGTAAAGACGGTACTGGTATGATCATGGCGTAATAGAAAATTGGGCTCTGACTAGTATATCAAATAATGTTTTAAAGATAGCAGAAGGAGAAAATTTTAATATGGAAAACTGCGGGAATAAATATTCTGCTATTAAACTTGATTAGTTAACGTTAGAAATTGTAAATGTTGTCTTGTTGAATATTCTCTTTAGGATTATGAAGAACTGATTCAAAAATTTGAAGGACAAAGTATTCGTTTACGTAATGAAAGTTGTAAAACGCTATATACGGTACCTAGTTATGTTAACAAATAAAAACCTAGTTATGTAAACAAGTGTTTGACTTTTAAACGCGTTTCAATAATAAGTTAATTATGGATTTGTACGTACGTTTCCTGGTTCCAATGCAATATGAAATTTCTATGTATCAGTAATTTGTATATTATACTTATGTATAGCAGTTTCAAAACCCTAACGCGGGGCAAATTGATATGAATAATTCTGACCGAATGGCTTTTAAGACAAACTTTAGTTTAGACATGATTAGTAGAATCTATCTTTTCCTATGGGATCATTGTTAATAAAACAGTAGAAATTTACCCTGAAGGATCATCGAAAATCAAATCAAGGTCCCTTGACCGCCATCGGCTATAAGATTCAAAGTAAAACTGGTCGAGATAAAAATAGATTTATACATATCTGTCTGTCCAATACTACGGTATCAATTGATACATAAATAAGCATTTGCTCTCACAATGCGGTTCACATTGAGAGTCGATTGCAAAAATACCGCTTCAATCAGATGACCGGTCGCTTTTTCGCATTGCTCCAAATCCTTGCGCGTCACGTCCACAGAGCAGATAAGCCAGAGTTATCAGTCGAGCCGTATTTACTTTTTCGCGTTCGCTACATGAGGCATGACACGTCCCTGCTATCTGTTTCGCTATCGTGGAACTGCGAACGATTATACAACGATACAACGGGTCGTCTAACGTCAACAACAGTACACACTGTTTAATTAGCCACTCTTAATAAGCTGTCTTAATATCGAAATAATCTCTTCTAAAATTACATAGATATTTCTGTCGGCTTATCAAAATGTTGATTAATGACGTGGAGGATATCATATTCATTTATTTAGTAATATACCTAAATAATCTAACGTGAAATGTATTTTTGGCTAAAAAGTTAATATTGCAGTTTATCTTAAATATACATATATATTTAATGTATTGTAAAAGATAGTCGTATTTTCACTATAACGTTTCTAAAGAATGTAAGTACGAACACACCCTTGCGTTTTCAATACTTACATTTTGCACTATTTTAGAGATCTTCACTGATGAAATGTAACATAAGTGTATCCATTGAGTTTTCTCCTATATCTTGTTTTTCGGGAAACGCATGAAAATAGATATCAATGATGAGATAAATGCCAATATTTAGCACTTGTTCAGGAAAAAAGGACGAAAAAAGTAGTAAACTAGGTCTAAAATCCTCCGCATTAACCGCACATTATAAACATGGTTATAATAGCCAGCAGTGGTACCTATGTCTTTGGTTTCTGCCAAACTAACTCTGTGTACCTAACTACCTAAGCTCCATTATCACTAAATCGCTCACTTCAAAATTCGAGGGAGGGTCAGAGGCCGATTGTTCTGCTCTAACGATGAACTAGGCCAATAGTTTATGGATCGAAGGCGAAGAATTTCGTCCACAAAAGTATCGGGGTACGAGAGTACAAAAGGGTACAAAAGTATCCCTATACTTTCGTGGAGGATGGTATACATACCCATGTGGTATGCATCCACTTGTAGGATAACAAAGGGTAAAACCGGAGAATGAGTCATATATTATATGTTGCCCGGGTATATTTATTATAAAGAGGAAGGAGGAAGCCGCATAATGAATTAGCTTGTGTTACACGAGTCGTTATCGTTGCAGGTCAAGGAAGGTACACCCGAGTACACATTCGCCAAAGCTGCCTTGTTCGAAAGGCATCCGGCCATGGCGCATTTCCCGGCGGGTTCGTATCTCTCCCATTTTTCTGGTTTACACCACTACTGGGAGGGTTTTACGCACACAGAGAATTCAATTGTTATTTAATTTATCGTCCAGAGTTCAGTGTTAATGAGATGTCTTTAACATTGAGTTTCGAGAATTAATAAATTTATTTAAAATGCCAGTTAAGTTGCGATTACGTTGGTATGCATTCGTCAGCTGTAACAATTTATATTGCGATCGCACACAGGCTTATATAAAAAAGTAAAAAGTAAAGTAACTGCCTATACATGTCCCACGGCTGGGCAAAGGCCTCCTCTATATAGAAGGTATCAGGGCATAGTCCACCACGCGGCCCCACTGCGGATTGGCGGACTTCACATATCTTCGAAATATTTTTTTTTTGTTATTATTTCGAAAATATGCAGGTTTCCTCACGATGTTTTCCTTCACCGCGGAGCACGTGATAAGACAGCACTTAAAGTTAAAAACTTCATTGGTGCCGGCACCGGGGATCGAACTCAGGTTGCTCGAGTATATTGAATTAAAGGCGAGCGCCCGGACATTGAGCTATCACGGCTCTATAATATCAAGTTTATAACAAGCTTATATAAATATCAAGTTATTATAGAAAGTATCTAGAAAATATTTGTATAAATTGTTATTATTGAGCAACAAATGTCTATAAAAATACTTTCGATAATGACTTCGAGTTTTACGTTTACACAAAACTAGGAAACAATAACGAGTGAAAGGCATACTTACCGCCTTAACAATGGTAAATTAATATTAGCTCTTTCTGCCTTCAATAAGACCGCTAGCAAGTACAATACATATAAAACAAGTTATACTATGAAAATATCTCATACTGTTCGTTTTTTGTTATACATTTAGATTTGTTTTCTCTCTGTTTTTCTCCTAGACCACGACTGGTTCGTTGCGAAGATGAAAATCGCCCAGATAGCAATGGTCGACTGGTTTGGCGGGGCAAAGTATGTGCCGGTGAAGGACTATCTCGCATACAATTACACTGGTCAAGAAATGCTGCACTACTACAATCGCTTGCACCATTAGTTGTGTTAAACAAAACCTTGTGCAAAGTCGAAAGAAATAAAACTATAGAAATTCATACAAGTGCTGCAAAACCATAATACCGGCGTGTATTTTATTATTCTATGAACATAGCAATCGTTACAGTGTTTGAAATAAAACATTTTTACATATGTACAAGTGTTTAATTACTTATTTACATATTGTTAGTTTTCAAAGGTCTATTGTTAGTCAACTGGTAAAAGAGATTAATTAAATTAAATTAAGCGCGATACGTGTGTTGCACAAGATAAAACTGTATTAGTTAGTTTCAGAACATCAATAGCTACCAATATTCCATAAAGCGAAAAGAAAGCCGCGTTACTTCTAAATGCTATTCTGGAACGTTTTCAATATGATATTATTTCAGAATGACTAATAATCATCAAACACCGTCGACACATTATTCGGATTCCAATAAGCATTTGGACGTAACGATGAAACATTTACACTTCTGCTAGAAAATCCAGAAAATAGACATTGGCAGTGGTACATATTATCTGTAAATATTAATGAAATATTTGTAAATTTAAATAAAATATATCTTGATTTTTTATACCCTTCGGATTATTTTGCTAGTTTTTTTTGGTTAAATATTAAAAGAAACAATAATTTCTCTTACGGCTATTCACTAAAATTAGGGGAAGCGTTAAACCTGTCAATAATGTGTATTTGTGCGAATCATTTACCAATTTTTTACATTAAAACAAATTTTATAAAGATAAAGAGTGGACTTATGCATAGTCTATTGACATACCAATTGCTTTACCATTCCTCTGAAGTCCAATTAACTAGCTGTTTTGTCTGATTTTGTCGAAGCTTGTTACATACGGATGGATCGTCGTTTATGTCCTACGACACCATTTACCATTTCTTTTTAATTTTAAGAATTAATGTCAATAAAACTTTTTTACAAATTTCTACGCTTCCGTCGGTGTGGCTCAATCGTTTAGCTTAGTGGCTAAAGCGTCAGGCCGCAAATGCCGAAGATGTGGTTTCCATTCCCTCAGAGGCGACAAACTTTTCGCACTTTTTCTACAAATTTTAAAATTTCTACGCTCTTAAACGATTTCTATTTTATAAAATTCCCATCAAAACCGGCGGGATAAACATGGAGGAGAGTTAAGGAGAAGAATCCCTTTAAAAGTAGCCATCGAAAAGCCGACAGTAGCAGGGTATCGGTAGCATGTGGGCATTAGGCAGTGGCGGTGAATTAATATGTACCATTTTTACTGGTTAGCATTAAAATTCAACTCAACAAGAGTCAGATAATCTTATCCTGCTACTCTAGCAGCATTCTGGCGGGATTTAGAAATGCTTACTGCTGGACATTTCTGTAGCAGTTCATCCATATGAGACAGTTCTGCTTACCTCTACCCTCCATAAGTCAGAGAGGTAGAAAAGATTAAACATTTTACTGTAAAATTTTATTTTTAAACTAAGTCGTAACGAAAAACACGTAAAGAGTACATGATCTTTTAAATCCAGCCGGCAGACGTTTTCACCATATTTTAGTAACTTTTAAACAACAATAAGATAAATGAAACTAATTTTACGGATTTATCGCGTTTATTTTTAATTTTAGTTCCCGACGTTTTGAACCATTTACAGCGTTCATGGTCCATAGTATAGTCTGTCCCGTGACCATGAACGCTGTAAAGGGTTCGAAACGTCGGGAACTAAAATTAAAAATAAACGCGATAAATCCGTATAATTAGTTTCATTTATAATGTGTAATCGCGTAAATACAAGAAATTATTAACAATAAGATAACCAACAATCACTATATAGTATAAAACAAAGTTGTACCGCTGTCTGTCTGTCCCTATGTATGCTTAGATCTTTAAAACTACGCAACTGATCTTGATGCGGTTTTTTTTTACTAGATAGAGTGATTCAAGTGGAAGTTTTATATGTATAATACATTGCACCCGTGCGAAGCCGGGGCGGGACGCTAGTTAACTTATAAGCACAAAATAATCTTACAAAATGACACACAAACACCTAAGATGGCCTTGATAGTAGTGTTATTGGTAGAGATCAGAGCAGCGTATGTATCGTATGGGTAATAATTTTTATATATGATTATATACAAAAGTTTAAGTTATCATTGCTATCAAAGTGAAAATGAAATAAATATTAATAGATGTGTGAACAAAACTATGTATGTTTAATGTTAAAGGATAAAGATTATCACTGTTATATTTCACATGTCAATAGGTCTCGTGTATACGAACTATAATCTAAAATTCAGATAACACTGGTCGCCTTTCCTAGATTTTAAATGTTTAGTAAGTACTAGATACCATTATCAGTTTCTGGAAAGAGAAATATGTAACTTTAAACCATAAAACTAAGTTTTCACGCACACAACAATGACGAGATTTTGATCTTGTCGCTTCTGAGACGTATGTTACCTTTACCTTTTAGTTTTATATCTTTCTAATCCATGACTTAAATATAAACAAATTACTATACTTGTTTTGTTTTTATAAATAAATTAGAATGAAACAGGAAAATCACAGATCATATTAAACAACCACAAGCAACCATAGTTATAAAGTAAATTACAAACTTCTACTTGTCTCCTGATGAATATGAAATAATGACATTTTGTCCCAATATTGAATTTATTATGTTTAATAGATTTTCATAAAGGTCTGAGATTTACAAATATCTAGCTAATCTTACAGGAAAACTAATCATTTAATTCATTATTAATTCAAATTTGATAAATATCGTTTAATTTTGACATCGCACATGCAAAAATTTAATTATCGCGTGATAGAGGCCACGTTATTATTAAATATTTCGTATCACAACAAATTCACAATCACTTAATCGGTGTTTTATAATTAATGCTTTTTTATCATAACAATCGCTTAATGCTATATAAAAGCATGTCACAGTTAGTAGAAAAGTTACAGTGAATACTAACTTAGAAACCTGATGAATTTTCAAATATCCTAATAGTGCGTCGCTTTGTAGGGCTTTGGTATAAAATTTTAATATTATAGTAATTGCACTTTTCCATTGCAATGCACGCAAGAGGCCACGGGAGGTGACACGTTTGTGCTGTTATTGTACGCGTGACTCACAAGAGCATTCACAGGTTCCTCGCTTTGCCTTTTTACTTCAATCGGCATGGCCATAACCTAAAAAAAACAAAAACCATCAAGACATTCTCATAAAGAGGTGGCAAAAGTTTCCATGGCCACGTATATCGCCTACATGTTTTTTTTTATTTTATTTTAAGACACCAGCAGTACATTAATTCAAATTACTGTTTCACATGACAATTTCTGATGCGTGTACCGTATTAGGTAACACACACAGCGTTGTATGCTCAGAATACAGAGAGAACCAGAAAGTGTGAACACGCCTAATACTGAAATATTAAAAACTACTAAATTGAGTTGTTTGGCGAGATGGCTGTTTATTTATTGTGTGAACCTTGTATCGCCTGACGTGATGTGCCGTCTTGAGTCATTTTTAACTGTACAAATGCCACTGGACTAAAAAAGCAGGATATTGTGTTATTTAATTATGTTAAATTTGTAATTATCATAGAAACCGATATTCCATGTTATCGGTGTTGGCGATATAAGAGTTTTAATTTTCCCTACTTTCGAATTTCTAAAGACTTTTATTAGTTGTTGTATAGTTTTTTTTATGGAAAAAAGTTTTATGGAAAAAAGGGCAACGGGCAGGAGGCTCACCTGATGTTAAGTGATCACCGCCGCCCATGAACATCTGCAACACCGGATGGCTTGCAAATGGGTTGCCGGCCTTTTAGAACAGAACATGCTCCCTTCTTGAATGTTCCCAGGTCGTAACGCATGACAATAAGTAGGCATGTATTTAAAAAATAATTTTAACCGACTAATCCGAACCGTTTGTATGTGATGGTTGTCGGAGTTGCAAAACATTCATAATACAATTAAAATCTATTAGAATTTCTACATTTTCAAATTTGTGGTGTGATGGTGGGGGTGTGGGGAGTGGGGAGTGTGTGTATGGGTTAACTTGCGGCTCTTATAATAGGTTGAATTTAAATTGTCAACTAACCATAATCCTTATTACATACAGATGACCGACATTTGCCAAGGTATTGGCTTCGGCGCTGGAGGAAGTGGGCTCGATTCCCACACGTATCAACTATTTGTTTGACACACAGATATCGGTTTCGGATCCGAGGTGTTTGTCCTTATATAACAGGATAATGTTTGCGAAGGGAAGACTACACTAGATCTTCTAAGTTGCAGTGGTCGTTCGGATTTACTACCGAACCCCTTCCATACAAAATACAATACATTCCCTATTATACGAAAAACATCTATACGTAAGATTTCATAGATTCAATTTTGATTTTGTTATTACTTTACTTCGATGATCTCAATTTTACCCCAAAATGGGAAAAATAATGTCTGAGCTAGCAATATTACGCGATTTGGAAGGGGTACGGGCGCGCGGCGCCTGTTTTGTTACTGGACACAGTACAGCGGAGTGACACGCAATTAGCAATTACGCGAAAACGCGCTTTCGCGTTCGGTTCTTTCTGTATTCTGAGGTATGGATCGTCTCGACCTGGCCTTCTTTATACTTTTTTCATACTTTTCTTTATATGTACTTCTTTATACTTTTGCGTTTAGACCGGTGATTCAGATTAACAGGGATCCGACCTTGCAAAGCCAGCAATAGTTGCTATGGGTCTCCATGGGCGGTGTTCATCAGTTTTCCACCTTTTCCAGTGAATAATTGTTTTAGATAATCTGGCAGAAGCCTTCCCAACCGTCCAATGTTACGATGCTTTGAAAAATGGCGTGGGCGTCCTTGGTTTTTGGAAACCAAATTCTAAATGGGGACAGGGACATCAAGCATCAATCCAATGTTGAAATGTTAGGGTTCGTCAGTCCTGCATACTTGAGAATACAGAACATTAGTAGCTTGAAAATTTATTTGAATAATATGACGACAATTTCTTGTATTTACTCGAGTATACATTATGAATGAAACTATTTTAGGGATGTATCATGTTTTTTTTTAAATTTTAATACCCTTATTATTTATTTTTATGGGAATTTAAATTAAAAATAAACGCGATAAATCCTTAAAAATATTTTCATTTATAATGAATAATGTCAAGTAGTTACATTTTCATACTTACATTTTCAGCAAACAATTCTGCCTCGGTGGCTGATGGTAGTATATTGAAATGAGTGATATCTTGTTTCTCAACAGAACTACTGATATTCTCAGACAGTTTCAAATTCACGGATGCCATGTCCAAAATATTTGTGGAATGGGGCAGTGTGGCAGAAAAGTTCAAGTTGCCTATGGGTCTGTTGTACATTTTATTGTTGCCCGTATATTCTGAAATGGCTATATTTTCTAGCCATTTCTCATGAAGACTATACAAGTTTCTATATGTACAAAGCATCATATCTCTTGCTCGGTAACGCTCATCTAGCAATTGCTTAATTGATTGTTGTAGTTTAACTGCCTTTTCATTAAGTATTTTTTTACAGTTAGCCAATTCTTCTACCATTAAACTATAAAGAGAATGAGATATGTATTATTAAAAATGTCTTTTATTAAAAATATATTATGCACTACTGTGGTCTACCTGCTAGCTAGGAATTTACTCCTCCATACCTCACATTGCCCAGCAAGCCACTCTGTTTGTTCCTAAAAGTTACAAAGAAACTAAATAAAACGCCATGAAATTAAAATAATTGTGAAATGATTACATTATTTCATAATAATTTATAAAAAATATAATAATTGTTGGATGTTAATAAAAGAACATAAAATATTAAAAATTGAAGTTCTGTTCTGTTTCTAAACTTGCATTCAATACTTAATATCCAATCATTTAATTTACCACTTTTCCTCATATTTAGTCAACAGTTAGAAATAATTAGTGATAGCTCAGTGTCCGGGCGCTCGCCTTCAATTCAATATACTCGAGCAACATGAGTTTGATCCCCGGTGCCGGCACCAATGAAGTTTTTAACTTTAAGTGCTGACTTATCACGCGCTCCGCGGTGAAGGAAAACATCGTGAGGAAACCTGCATATTTTCGAAATAATAACAAAAAATGGTAAAGGTAAATAACTTTAACTCCGGCGTAATTCAAATCAAATAAATTTTAAACGATAGAGATAAATCTCTAATGAATTAATCAACAAGCAGAATTCGGCGGTCGCTTATAGTTTTCGAGAAAAAAAATATTTAAAACTTGTTTTTTGTACTAAGAAATCCACCATTTTATTCGTTTGACTTCAAAAGTTCTTTACACAGTTCTGCCAACATGATAAATATAGGAAGCGGGCGCCATCATACACGTATCGATATTCCGATTTTTTAAATTTAATGAGTCACAGAACCGACACAGAGCGAATCCGACTCGGATAGATTAGGTTAGAAGGTTCAGGCGGGAGCGGAGCTCCCGCCTTAACCTTCGATGTTAGGTTTTTTTTTATGACCACCAAGAAATACGAGCTGAATTGACATATTGACAACAAAAAATGGCGGATTTCTATAGTAAAAATCACACTATTTCATTATTTATTTTTTCGAAAACTATAAGCGACCGCCAAATTCTGCTTGTTGATAAATTCATAAGTGAGTTTTCTCTATCGTTTAAAATTTATTTGATTTGAATTACGCCGGAGTTAAAGTTATTTACATTTACCCAAAAAATAAATATATATTTCGAAGATATGTGAAGTCCGCCAATCCGCAGTGGGGCCGCGTGGTGGACTATGCCCTGATACCCTCTCTATAGAGGAGGCCTTTGCCCAGCAGTGGGACATGTATAGGCTGTTACTTTAGAAATAACTTAAAATAGCACACATCCATAATCAAGAAAATTTGTGTTTATCTATGCATATCTATGAATCTTTTTTAATAAGTCATTTAGGACATACTTTGATATTGTTCTACCTGATAAAGATATTCTGTAAGATAGCACTTATTGTGTCAAATACTTGCCACTGAAAGTTCATAAAATATATTATACATAGATTAGAGTTAATAACTTGATCACAAATAAATCATAGTGAAGTAAAATTACCTGAATCTCAAATTGACAGATTTGACATTATCTGGGCTGACATTTAGTAAATATATTTTTTTAAAAACCTATTACTGGCTTTTGTAAAGTTAGGTCTTCTTCATTAAAAATTATATTCTAAAGATAAGAGTTTTTGTGGCTTACAAATAATATTAACAAAGGACCTTTACAGAAAGGTAAAAAGGCCCTTGTTACCTAATAAATATGGCTAATCTCTCTACAATATTTGATATTATCAAGAGTACTAATTTAATCTTCACATGCCAAATTTATAGTGAAGGTGGAGACTGACATTAATAAGCAGTGAGGAAACAACCCCAGTAGAGATATGAACTGTAAAATTGATAAACATATGCATTGCAGAAAGATAATCAGAGTGAACAGAGAGAGGGAATCATATCTTGCTTATTAAACATTTAGGAGCTATTAACAGATTATAGCAAAAAAAAAGATTTTTTTTGTTATATATATAAATATTTTTGAGCTAATTTTATATACTATCTATATGCACTTTTAGAATCAGGAGAACTTCTCTGACAAAATAACAAATAATTATCATATGGGAAATTTGATAGAAAAAATTACAACTATCACATATCTTTATATAAAAAAAGTGTTTAAGATTAAAAAAAACCTGATGTGTTGAAAGGTGCTGTGCAGAGTTAAGTAATGCATTAGCAAGATGCTTTTTATCTTCATTGAGTGACTGCACTTGTGTTTCAAGGTCTTCTCCCATAGAGGCAACCAACATGGTTTTTAGTTCTTTGTTGACCTGGAAATATTATTCTTTTATCATTATGCAATTCAGTGTTATTAAACATAATTTTTTTATATAAATATGTTCTACTATGAGATCTATTAATCATTGTTCTTATTCCTAATAAGAAATTAAGATAATGATCAAAAAGGTCAATAAATCTAAGAAATACCGGTTGAGTTTTTTTTCACAGAAGGGAACTCTACCTAGCAGGTAAATAAATATTATAGGATTACAGAATGAGTCAGATAAATTTAAAAAAATACAAAATAAAAAAATAATTTTTCTAAAGGTAGGACCATGCTGAGCCTTCTTGTGCAGGTTCGATAAACATGGATATTGATTACTAAGTAATCGGTAAAATTTTAAAATTTTACCTGAACTTGTTGTTTCAATTGTTCTTTTAAAACCTCATTCTCTTGGGTTGCATCTTCAAGTTTCTTCTTCAAATCATTATAAACATTATCTTTTTCTATATCTGTTGTTGATTTATCACTTGTAGATGCTAGCTTTGGCCTTGGTTTATACTCATTTAAATTTGTATCCATTTGTGACATCTGAGAGATCAGTGTGTTTATATCCATATTGTTTCTTGATTTTTTCGTGTTTTTAGTGATTGCCTGTGTTGTAATAGGCTTGACAGCTCCAGGATATGGTTCATATGGTACAAATTTTGGGTTCCTGGAATATATGTGTGAGCTTTTCTTATCCGAGCTGATTATTTTAGAAGGATACACTTGAACTAAACGACCAGGTAGAAGAGATTCGGCACTGTGTGTCGACGTGTTACGTTTTAACTCAAGTTTTGCCCTACTTTCAGAAAAACAATCAACTGATTCCATTCCATCGCCTGCAGTTCGTGCTTTAGTCAACATTTCTGAAATTTAACAAAAATGTATATGTTGATATATTACTTTGACACTGTTGAAAAATATTGAATAAAACTTAAAAATGTACAATCACTTCGATATTGTTTACTAACTATAACAAGAAAATATTATATTATTTACCGGTGCGAATAGGATTCATTTTACTCATTCTATTGATCGAGTATTTTATGAACACAAATAAATTACGAAGAGTGTTTAACAAACAAAATATTTACAAACAGCCAAGTTCAAAAAATTATTTAGTTTTATACTAATAACTTTTACTTTACGTTGACGTTCTATGATTTTGACGTATAAGAAGTTGACAGTGACGTTAAGACGTCAGGTTTTGACATCCGGCCACGGAATATAAATTCAAAGAAGACTTGAAGAGTCTTGTGTCGGTTGCGAACAAAGAATAGGTACATTATTAATATAGAGTTATTAGTGTCATCGTGAACAGCGCCATCTTTTGATAAGTTACCGAACTACCGAAGTTCAGATGTAGATAGCTACTGTTAACCATTTTCAGTTTTTTTGAGAGCTGTATTCTGTTGATTGGTAATCTCAGAGGTAAATGTAAATAACTTTAACTCCGGCGTAATTCAATTAAAATAATAATTTTAAACGTTAGAGATAAATCTCTAATGAATTTATCAACAAGCAGAATTCGGCGGTCGCGTATAGTTTTCGAGAAAAAAAATATTTAAAACTTGTTTTTTGTACTAAGAAATCCACCATTTTATTTTTTTGACTTCAAAAACTCAATACATAGTTCTGCCAATATGATAAATATAGGAAGCGGGCGACATCATACACGTATCGATATTCCGATTTTATTAATTTAATGAATCACAGAACCGACACAGAGCGAATCCGACTCGGATAGATTAGGTTAGAAGGTTCAGGCGGGAGCGGAGCTCCCGCCTTAACCTTCGATGTTAGGTTTTTTTTTTATGACCACCAAGAAATACGAGCTGAATTGACATATTGACAACAAAAAAATGGCGGATTTCTATAGTAAAAATCACACTATTTCATTATTTATTTTTTCGAATACTAGAAGCGACCGCCGAATTCTGCTTGTTGATAAATTCATAAGTGATTTTTCTCTATCGTTTAAAATTTATTTGATTTGAATTACGCCGGAGTTAAAGTTATTTACATTTACCATCTCAGATTATACATACTCTTTTGATGTTAACTCTTACCTGGTTGATTTATGTATTATGTTTGAATTACTTTAAATTTGGAATATTAGTTTTATTTGTTCAGACTGAATTGTCATTTTTGATTGATTCCGTAAAAATCGTTTGGAGAAGTAACATGTTTAGCTATCTAACATAACTTGTATTTTATATAAATTTCATAATGATTAGTTTTCGTTAAAACTGAGTTCAAAATGTTAAAAATGAAATAAATAGTTTTCTTATCAGTCCTTAAGCGTCTGTGGCGACTCATTTGCTACTGTGTAGTACCGCTCTTATCTTTTACACCCTTAGTCTCATCGGTCTAGCATTACCCTAATATTGACAAATTATTATAGCAACGAGTGACAATAAAAAGATGATGGTTTTCTCAACACGGCTCGTTCTTTGTACTGCATCTTAATTATTCCCTCCTGCCGGCTCCCAAACTGGTGACCCCGACGTGATTGCACATGCAGTGCACCCAAACGTCTTTTTGGCTTTTAAGTGATCCCATTAGCCTACCTACCTACCATTCAAGATATTTAACTACAGTTTCATAGTGTATATGAAATTTATTTAATTTTTATTTGATAACTTTGTATAGAAAACTGTAATTGGATACAAGCAGAAATATGTTTTATTTGTGTCATAAAAGTAAATTATGAACAAAAACTTCTTTGTTTTGAAGCTTACATCATTACATATACATATTAAGAAATACTTAACATGACAACGCAATATTTAAACTTGTCTTTTGTTATTTTATTCATATATGATATGGCCCGACTCAGAATAATCAATAAAAAGAAAGGACATTTTTAGAGGGTATATTTTTGTTATAATGAAATAAAAAAGGATTTCTTCGTAATTTACTTAATTAAGGAATGAAGTAAATTGAGATTTTAAAATATTGGTTAGGCTGCTAATTCTTCTTCACTTGTCTTTTATTCTTATTTTTTATTTACCATCAGAAAAATGTTTTTATTTCCATCACTTTAGAATCTTGTTGATTAAATTATCTTTAGTATTAATAATAGATAGTGGATAGCAGATTAAGTACACTTGTGGATGTTGAGGATTCAACCAGTGTTGGATTGTGGTTAATTATTATATGAAACAACAGTTGAAACAGTTGAACTACTACATGAATTCATGAAACAGATTGCTGTAAGAGATTAAGCTGCAACACTACTTAATTTAATCTGTCACTTTTTTATATTTGACAATTGTCATTTCTGAAACATTTGCGTAAGTTTGTGACTGTGGTAAGTTAAAAATACTTTTGTAATATTAGGAATTAATAGATTTTTATAATGTGGCAATAAATAACTCGTGATATTTAAATAGTGTTTATTTTCATTCACAGAGTAAACCAAAAAATAATATAAACCCTATTACACAATGTCAGTAAGCAACATCGATTCAATCGACAATTTTGTTCATTTTATAAGGTAAGTCTTTTCTTCGATATTGTTTGTAATTGTGCAATAAAATATGTTACTAGCTAGATCTTGATATTTATTTTTTCAGTTGCCCACAGTTAACGGTTGTCCATTTTTCTACTGATTGGGCAGAGCAGTGCCCTCAAATAACATCAGTGCTAGAAGAACTTGCTGCAGTTCCAGAAATAAAGTCTAGTGGTACAAAATTTGGCGCATGTAACGCTGAAAGTCTTTCAGAAATCTCACTTAAATATAAGGTTTGTAATTATTTATAGCTTTATTTGATTATTGGCTGCTTTAATTTAACATTTTTTCACCTATATATCTTTAATAACACTAATTTAATTGAGAGATTAATATCATAGTCAGATTTAGAAATAAATGTTTCTACTCATATCAAAACCTAATTAGTAGCTATATTTAATTAGTTATTGTTATAACTGTAATAATAATTATACAATTATGAAAATTTTTAACATTTCATCAAATCTATGTTAAATATTTGTATATAAGTGAAGAAAATTGTTTCTATGTGATCTATTTACATTAAATATTAATGTGAATAGATCACCTATTATTAGTTTAACTTCTATAATAGGTTGCTGAATCAAAAGGATACTGGTGTTTATTCATACCATAGTAATAGTTTATTATGTATGATATGCCTTTTAGATTAAAATATAAAGTAATTGATTAAAATAAATGCTTCCAAATTGATCATTCGGTTGGGAAATACTAGTATGCACTAAAATACATTGCTATAAGTACATGTTAATTTACTGCTTACATTACAGACGAAATATAATTTCTTATTACAATAATTTTATGTTTGATTTAAATATATCTTATGTATTTTTAACCCCAGATCTAAAAAGATGATTGTTATAAGTTTGATGCGTATTTCTGTGGCATATTAGCTTCAAAACTGTGGACCAATTATTGTGCAGATTTTTTTGTTTGAAAGCTGATGTGATTTACATGCTTGAGTTTTTTTGTGTGTGGGGATTGCTTAAAGTTTATAATTGTCTATCATTGATAACTTAAATTATTCATGTAAAGGGTCCATATTGCTTTTAATCTAAGGTGACTGCTGCTAAATGTTTTTTAATTATAAAGCCTTTTTACAATTGATAAAACACAGAACACATAATTATTTAGTCCAGTAGATTTTGTGCACTTAACAAAGCAATTTTTTGATTTAATTTACAGGTTGATTCCGTTCCCACAGTAATACTTTTCAAAAACAGCACACAAGTTGATAGAGTTGATGGGGCTGATATTGCACAAATTACCTCAAAGGTAAAAACTCTTAGTTGTGGCAAATCTGCACCAACTACAACTACCCCTAAACAATCCCTAGAGGAAAGACTGAAAGCTTTAATTAATAAACACAATGTGATGATATTCATGAAAGGCAACAGAGATGCACCAAGATGTGGATTTAGTCGAACTCTTATACAAATCATCAATGAAACTGGGTAATTTTTTTTTTTATGTATAAACTAATAAGCACGAACACAGTTCACTTGACATTGAGTGCTGATTTCAACCCATATATATTTACAATACCTGCAAAGTTGTGTATGCATTATCTGACAATAACACTTCTTGAAACAATCTGGTTTATTTTTGAACTGAAACAATTAACATAATTAATTCAAATTTATCTTGATTTAGATATCCAAAGCGGCAAGAAACTTTTCGTTCCTTTTTCTACAAAAATTTTAAGATTTAGATATAATTTATTGTAAAATTTAAAGCAAGGGAATTGTACAGGGTGATTTTTTTGACGAAGTACATACTTTGACATAATGTTAATTGAGCATTTCATAATTCAAAATATAATTTTTTTTTAGAAATAACCAGAAAAATATCAATTTAAACATATTTTATTTAAGATTGGTCACCCTATTGATAAGTGGTTTAGTCATTATGCATTCAGCGAAAAGTTTTATAAAATCCGTTGTCTATAAAATCACCCTGTATGTGTATTAAATGTAACTTAAAATTGAAAATGTTTGATTAAAAAACATGTTTAGTTATTTGTGGTAAAATTTTAATTTATAAAAGTGTATAAAACTATTATTGTTTCCTAATTTCACATGTTATCATAAATACAAGTACCAATATAGATATTTTCTTATCATATAGATTTATTATTTAAAAGTTTGTGAGGTTATCACTTATGACAAAGATATCTTACAAACTAGTACTAAAATAATAGATTAGAATAGTTTCCTTAAGTCATCAGTATTAACAATCATTTTATATTTCTGTATGAGAAACCTTAATATTTAAAATTTTAATGATAATTAACTATCAAAATTTTGGAGACTGCAAAAATTAAAAAAAAAAACTTGTTAGAAACTATGATTACATTGTTAATTGTATGGAGTATTATGATGTATACACATGTTACATTAAATTAATTATAATTGATACATAACAATTTCTCTATTTGCAGGGTACAGTATGATACTTTTGATATTTTAACTGATGAAGAAGTAAGACAAGGTCTTAAGGAATATTCTGATTGGCCAACATATCCACAACTTTATGTAAAAGGAGAACTGATTGGAGGGTTAGATATAATTAAAGAATTGCTAGCCAATGGTGAATTGGAGTCAACATTAAAAGCATAACATGTGCAGTGTTTCTTTGGTTGATTTCTATTTATTTAAATAAATAATTGGGAATTCAATATAATCCGTTTTCCATAATTTTATTTTACTGTGAGATGGTGGCAAGTGAGCTGGCGGTTCGCCAGATGGTATGTGATAACTGCTGGTCATGGACATTTGCAGCATCCATAGGATTATAAATTAAACCAAGATCGACTTAATAAAGTGGGTCTTAGTTTTCTTTACTCACCAAACGAAGTGCAGAAGTATAACACTTCCACTAAACTCGTCTTCTGTGAGGATGTGCTCATTCGTGCAATCGTGTGGGCCACATTGTGGGTCCACAGTCAATTGTGTATTTCTAGTTATGTTAATCTTAAATACACATCTCAAATACATTCAGTAGATGTGACAATTATAAAATCATTAATTGTATTATACATGGCAGAGCCCAACTTGATGGCAGTTGAAAAGTTTCTTATATTAAAATTTTTAGTATAGATGCTGTTTGAACTGATGTTTTTGCTTTCAGTCCATAAACTCTTAATGCTTTGATGAATGAGCGCTAAGCCTTATAAGGCCTTTCGCGTTGAATAGAACGGCGCGTTTGCTCATTCATGCGTTATCTAAGTATCTGTTAGGAAATGTCTCTTACATGCCATAGTTTCGGTATAAACCGTGACGTTTTAAACTGACTGGAGGCATTGAGACCCGCCTTGCGGGTCGTGGGTTAATCATTGTTGGGTTCGTCTCGCCGTTTTTACGTGGGAAAAATCCTTTATGGCTCTCCACCTTTATGGAGCCACCTTGTGGGTAGGCAGCAGGGGTAACTATGTTGGAGTTATGAGAGTACCCACTAAAAACCCACGTTGAACCTGCGCTGTCGCTTTTGCCTGGGACACGGAAACACGAAAACGCAGTCTTCCGCGAACCCCGGCGCGACTGTGGCCCTCTCAGGCTTCCTCTCTCCGGGTGTTTGGACACCCGGTCCAGGCAAATGGTGCCGTGTCGCTGCAATGAATAAGCCCTATGCGGGGCAGCAGTTAGTCCCGCATCTGTTGCCCCGGGGCTTGCTACCAGGGGGGAAGATTGCGCGTAGTGGCCAGACTCCTGCGCGCTGGTCTCCGGCGGCGGATTTCCAGGGTGGCAGTTCTCTCTCTCTCTCTCCGCGGCTTCCTTCCGGGTGATTATGTCCTAGCAGAATGCAAAGATCCCACGACCTCACGTAGCGAGAGATCGTGCCCCACGATCTCTCGCCCCACAGCTCTCGGCGCTACTCCCGCGAGGATTTGCTTTTGGGCCATCTCCTTTTGCGTCGCATCGGGTATATGTAATCGCTATGTAGGCCTCGTTTTTTTATGGCACCGAACCCCCCCGAGTTCACTGACCAGAGGTCATGGGAACCAAGAGAGCCAGTACTAATAAGCAACAAGCCTCCCAACCCCCATCGGTGGACCTAGTCTGTGATGGAGATGAATAATGACTCGGGCGAGATGATTCAGTGTAAAGTCTAAAAATATATAAGATATAGGCATGGATCATCTGTGAAAAGCGCGAGATTGACATGTAAATTTTTTGGGATGCTGTATAGAGAGGAAACAGCAAAGGCAAGAGGCAGTGCCCAGAGGAACGTCCGTAGTAAGCGGAGCGTTTCGTGGAGAGAGCACCCTCTACTTGATAAAGAAAAGAGCGACTCGACAGGAAGGCTCGGACCCGTCGAGTCGCTTTTGTCTTGAGCCTGTCTATCACGTTGAATGGGAACAGCTTATGAAGCAAGCCGCTGTGCTAGACTTTGTCGAATACCTTTGCGACGTTGAGAAAAAGAGGCCTCTGTATATACTCCGTCAGGCGTTAGATCTGTTTGGGACTGGACGGATACGGTCGAAAGCCGAACTGTTCTGGGAGAATAAGGTTATTGGAGTAGACATGATTCTTAAGCCTGTTGAGCATGATACGCTCGAACACCGTGATCGAGCGATAACCCTAGGCCTGGTTGGGCAGTTTGCTTAGCTTGCGAGTACCGATAAATGTAAATAAAACTAATTCCTACTAAACACCTGGCCTCCAAACTGCCTCCTTCTAAACACCCGCAAGGAGCATTCATCTAAAATGCCTTCTAGTTAACCAATAGTCTATTAAACAGTGCCTTGCCTCTTACAACACAGCTGCCATTAAGTTCGGCGCCATGTGTACGTAATTATAAAAAATAATATGTAGATTATTTTTATGTAAGTATTGACCTTGAAAGGCTGACAATATAAATAAAACATCTAATTTATTAGGCTTCTTATTTTTGTATTATTTATCACGACTTAAATTATGTTTTATATATTATGTTATCGGATACACGATAAGGCTATACGACAGCTCAATATCCCGCACCTAACCCTTGCGTGTGTTCTCTTCGGATCGGTACTTTCCCTATTCCAGCGACATTCTTTGGATTCTTAAGGCCGAGTTGGTACTACAGCGTGTCTTTACAATCGCGACAATAAATGTACACACATATAGGGGATAACTTTTTAAAATTGTATTAAACATTTACATTCTTTAAATATCAATATTTACAGAGTTATTAAATTTTCCAAAACAATTTTAGAACACCCTTACGTATAAAACTGTAACGGAAAGTTCATTTGTAAAGGTCACAAAGCATATGAATGGGTTGAATGAATTTAAAAGAGATAAAACATACTGTTAGAAGGAAAGGCTTGAAATGCGACGATGTGGCGCGAGTTGTATAGGGATGTTACAAATTTTGTATCTTTTTTAATTAATTATTTGTTTGAAAAATATTTTTTTTAAATTATGGATTTTGTTTAACGTTAATATTTTTTTATGATTATTGGCAAGTAGCGTTCGACGTGTGTTCATTTATTGTCGCGATGGTAACGACACGCTGTATACGTCAACAATAAAGTCATATACGTGGTTGATTGCATTAAACCCAGGTTATAATCCGATTACAATCTACAATAAACTCAGTAGGCGCCCCTAGGCGAATGGTTCAAAAAGTGGCGGATGGAGGTTAACTCGAAGCAGAGTAATAAGATCATATTTAATTGTCATTCGGTCAACCAACAATAGAAAAAAATCCTTTCCGTTAAATTATTCAACCAAACCCAATGCGTGGGAACGCAATTTGAGTTAACACCTAAATAATAAAACTCACATTTATAATGTAAATAAAACAGACTACATTATGTCTCGTCCAAAGACCTTACACTTACTAACCTACTTTTGTAAGTATAAGATCTTTGGTCTCGTCAAATGACACTCAGACGCGAAGTTCATCAATACAATACATAATAACAATGCTAGTGTCTGTTTCATAAACCTGCGCATATCCTTGCCAATACTTCGAACCCACGTCAAGAAAATTAAACTCAATTCCTTCGATCTGCACATACCACAGGGCGCCGCTATGTGGACATTTTAATTTAAGGGAATAAATTGCCTTTAAGTGCGAAAAGCTTGCAGTCAGCGGGATACATCCGCACCCCTTGGACCACGTAGGCATCCTATGACTATATCTATATGTATAATTTCAATCTATGACTTTCTCTGGATGGTTCTCACTATTGATCACAGTCCAAGTTGAGGTTCAAGGAGGTTCCTCCATATGAGCGAAATACATAAAAACTCAAATGTATAAAAAATTTAATATAAAAATATATTCATTATACTTCATTTTCTCTACTTGAAAAAAATCTCAAAAACAGTTGGTAACCCTACCGCCGTATGGAGTCTGTAGTCTGTCTTGTCTTGCTTTGCTTTTGTCTGTCTTGTAGAGATGGGTCGTACCGCTATTTCTGAGTACCGTATCTGAATCAGATATCGATTTCAAATATCAGATTTCGAAACTATGTATTTTAATATCTAGATATTTTACGGTCCCGTATCCACATTGAATTCTAAAAAAAAAAAAGAGTATTTAAAAGTTGATTCATTCTATGTACATAATTTTCCTGATATTTAAAACTTAACTTATTTACAATGATGTGTGGGTTAATAATTATTTAGATTCCTCCGGGTTTTAATTCACGTTTACGAACGTAAGCTGTTTGACTTTAATCGTCGAAAGTCTTGTTCGACGATCATTGTACATACACATAAATAAAGGTATTAACAGTGATACCAACTGTTCAAAAAGAATACTTCTAAATAAATTCGAAAACCCACTAAAATTGACTAAATTCAAAAAACTTACTGAATTTAAAATCACGATTTTTTTATACTATTAAGGTAAAATTAAAACATTACCTGATAAAATTAAAAATTTCATTAAAAATAGAAATTGAAGTAATATAAAAATGATTTATTTTAACATCTTATATATCGCTTAATAATTGAGTTTAACATATTTTTAAAACACGCAATCATGAGTGACAATATCTTTATAATTTGTGTAAGAAATAATACATTCAGTATTATAACTTAGGGCGGAAGAATTTAAAATATACACACAAAGCACATAAGCCTTGGTCTGATTTCCACCCAAGCAGCACTACACTATTAAATTATATTTTTCTTTTTGTGTACTTTTATTTTTTTTCCAAAAATATGAATAAAATTTAACTAATAAAAATATTCACAAAAAATTTACCTCCTAAAAAATTTCCATTTATATTTTTCTTCCTTAATTTAGGCAGAAAATTCTTAAGTAGTAAGTTGGCATCCCTTACTATTACGTGCTTAGTAGCAATGCAATCCAGCTCAAGACTAAACAAAATTTAAAGACATCGTTAATACTGTAATTCGTATTTAAATGCAACAGAGATTTTTTTCCATGTTGTTAAGATTCAAAATTACTTAACTGCGCGCTTTGTCGCTCGTTACGGCTCAAGGCTAAACAAAGCAATAGAAATATAATAATATCGTTGTAGTAATCTTTGATACCATGATTAGTATTTAATTAAAACGGATCTTATTTGCATCGTGTTAAGATTCAAAATTACTTAACTTATTCATAATATCTGTTTAAAAATCTGATATTGTGCCTTGCTTGCCGTACTGCTCTAACTAGTGTAATATTTGTATCTCACGCGCTTTGTCGCTCAAAATCTGTTTAAAAATCTGATATCGTTCATTGCTTGCCGTCCCGCTCTAACTAGTGAGTATTTGTATTTCACGCGCTTTGTCTCTCGAAATCTGTTTAAAAATCAGATATTGTGGCAAACCGTATGATATCGCGATTCGTGTCGGTATAGTGAGCGAGCGAGTATTCGGTATATCAGATTTCGGAAATATCAGATATTGTAAAATACATAGATATTGAACGAGCCAATAAGCGATATTCGGATATTTTACTAATATCTAGATTTCGTATCTGATACGATTTGTATCGCCCACTTCTACTGTCTTGTTCTTGCTAATGTTATGTTAATGATTAGACGCTGTTTGAGGTTATAAGTATGTGCTGAAAATAAAATAAACTGGTTAAGTTAGTTTATTGTTTAATTTATTACAACATCACATTTATTGAAAATGGCATCTGTTTCAACGGCTCCGGCGCCAGGGATGCATCAGATTGATCTATCTAAACTAAACCTGCACCAGTTGGCTCAACTCAAACAACAAATGGATCAAGTAAGCACTACTAGTTAAAAAGTGATTGTTTTTATATTTTTATATCTTATATTCACTTTTATGTAATTTTTCTATGCAGGAGTTAAGTGTTTTCACAGATTCATTACAAACTCTCAAAATAGCCCAAGGAAAATTCGTGGAATCTGGGGAAAGTGTGGAAAGAATAACACCGGACACTAAAGGGAAGACTATTTTGGTTCCATTAACTAGCTCTATGTACGTTCCCGGTGCAATATCAGATACAGATCATGTTTTAATTGATGTTGGAACAGGCTATTATGCTCAAAAGGTATTTCAAATTGTTATTATTTATTTTAAGTAACAACAAAGCTTCTGCGTGAATATAATTTCTAAATTTTAAAATCATTAAATAAATAATTACCATAACATGTTCTCAGCAGATATTAAATTTTCTATGAATTTAATTAAAGGACATTGATGGAGCAAAAGATTACTTCAAAAGAAAAGTTGCTTTTGTGACAGAGCAAATGGAGAAAATACAAGTGTTGGCAATTGAAAAATCGAAAGTAAGAGATGCTATTTGTATGATGATTGAAATGAAGATGCAAGCTCAATCTCAAACCCAGAAGCCGTCAGCTTCATAACACTGCTTATATTAAAAGTTTTAAATGTTATAAACAATTCTTTTATAATAGTTATGCACAATTCATGTTACATTAACCATTTACTTTTCTAAAAGCAAACACTGGCAAATTATTGGAAGGCTTAAAAATACATTTTCATTAAGTATGTGTACTGTTGAAGTTATTAAATATATATAAAAATCAAAAATTAAATATAGCATAATTTATAATAAAAATGTTTAATAAGCTTTAGTAGATGAATTATCAATATTTATATTCTAACAAAATTCTGATTTATAATCACAATTAAAGTTTTCCTAGTTCTTTCTGAGATTTTTTCAAAATATAAAACCTTATGGCTACTTTAATGGAAGCTGTTAAATTTCCTTACTTTCTTGAGTGTGTGGGTTAATTCATTTGACCTCAATGAAATTTACAATTGAAACTACTGATAACAATAAATTTATTAAATAACAAAATTTTCCTAATAAAGTTATTAATAAATTAATAACTACATGAAGAAAATGAATAAGGTACCTGATCATCTGGCCCTGAAGGGACAGGTAGAGATGGATAATATTCTGCGCAAAATATAATACAACAATTAGTTCCAGTTAGAAATACAACAGTTAGATGTGTAATTGGAAAAACACGGGTGAATTCCTAAAGTCTCACATCGACATGGTGCTATATAAAAACAGATAAAAAGCTGTACAACTATTGACTCTAGCCTTGGGAAATGCCCCAAATTAACCGAGAAAGGAGACATTGAAGTTATATTTTACAGACAATGAGTCTGTAAAATATTGTTATTTTTTAGCATCACACAATTTGGCCTTTAGAGTTAGAGAGATATTTATATGTGTTAGGATCCGTTATCCAGCCAGTGTTACAATTTCAACCAACTCCCAAAACATATTCAAAATAAGGTCTTGAATTTGATGGCCAAGACACCTGAAAACTAAAACTGTTGAAATATAAATGTTACTCGATTATTTGATTTTCTCTCATGTTCAGTAACTTTCAATTATTATAAGACTATTGATACAAATACAGCTAACAACGAAGAACCAAACTAGAGTTGAAAATTTGAATAATTAAACAGGTAATTAGAGCTAGATCTGCTGATCTATTATCTTATGTCCTGCTGGACATATTATCCCAAAACTGCAAAGGACAAGGTGACAATAGAACAAGTATGCTTTGAGAAATTTCATATACAAAAACATATACCGGAAAATTCACTTGCTTGTTTTTAATCTTGTAAAGGAAACCAGAATCGGATATAAGTGGACGCAACATCGTCCGGTGTATGTCCAAGCAAAATCTTTTTTTTTTGTTTATTACAAATGTGCATTGCGGGCTTCCGAGGGAGCCTCGGCTCGTGCCGTCATGCTGTTATTATTTTCACCGGTTTTTGAGGCCGCCAAGCTTTTATGTCGCTTTGGCGGACACTCCATGGAGTGACTAGGCTCAAGGGCCTCGGCTTGGGCTGTCATTCAATTCCCGTTTAACATTCCCGAGAGTGCCCAAGGGGGCCGACTCTCGTCTCGATCGCTAGCTGTAGTCTGGCTGGAAGAATTTCTATAGCTGTCATTACTAACACTTCGGAAAGCGTTAGCGCTGGGAGAAGTGGCGGAAAAAACTCTAGCAACGTTTCTATCGTTGTCGGGGAAAAAGGAAATACCTACTTACGAATTTATAGTCGCCCTCTTCGTATGGTTCGACATTCTTACGAAAATAAATGTCTTGAGTAAAATGAGATAGTGAAAAGATGCACCTAGATGAGGTAGAATTTAGACGCATTTACACATTGGAAAGCCCTTATTGATATAACGGTTTCCAATGATCCATTGTAACTACAGGAGAAATATCTGAGAAAAATTACATCGAGAGAAACTTCAAAGCCGTGAAATATAAACGTTTAAAATTAATTTTGAATATGACGGGGAAGATGGAATTAAAAGAGTACTTTTATATATCTGAAATGAACTCTTGGATGAATTTTCTATGAAATTTAAGTGAACAATATCTGCAAGCTGCCAATCTAGGTTTAAGCTACTTAAAATAACGAAAGTTTATTTTATTTAGTGACTTAACTTTGAAAGAAATGCAGTTAGGTACTTGCTTGTTGTTTATCTTAAACAGTAACAGTATCTTTATTACATCCGATGTTGTTTGACATAAGTTATGTGAAGAAATAAACATGTTTATTCGTGTATATGAAGGAAACTATGTCAGTAGCTCGGTGTTAAAATATATTAAAGAAAAAATAAATAAAGTGTATATGAAATTTTTTTTTTATAACTGATGTTTTTGCTTTCAGTCCCGAGACTATTAAAGCTTCATCTGACGCAGAACCGGTGGGCTAGCCAGAACCCACGGGTTTGGGGAAAAAGAGGAAGTAGTGACATTTGCGTCACCAGAAAGGACTTAATCAAGTTTAAAAGTAGATATTAAAACATATGTGAGGAATTCTATGACATCTGGCTAAGCTTTTGTTATCTTTTGAATTGAAAACTACGTAGCTCATCGTTAGATTATTGTAATTTAATAATTAATTTCAGCCCGCAAACCTTATTTTGTGATTCCCTGATGATAATTACGACACGCCTTCTTTGTGCTAGTAACTTTTGTTTCTTATTTGATTTTTAAAATTGCATATAGGAATACACAATTTAAAAACAAAATATACATATATTTACAACTTTTTCGATTCTCGATATTCGGATCAAGAAATTCCGCAAATCTTCGCATGAATAAAGCCGGCCCTGCCAAGCAATCAAGACGATTACTTCAGTTTACCTTCTAAGCCTACAATGCCTCTTACCATGTAGTTACCGAATGGTCTAAACCTGGCAGGGTATATTGGAGTAATTCGTAATATTTTTTCGGAAGAGTAACAAAAATAAATTAAAGTAGCGCATTATGATGAACTTTTCTGGCCTTGGATGACCAAATCTGAATAAAAGTTAAGTAAAAAAGTAAAGTAACAGCCTATACAAAACCAACTGCTGGGCAAAGGCCTCCTCTGTACAGAGTGTATCAGGGCACGCGGCCCCACTGCGGATTGGCGGACTTCACATATTTTCGAAATATTTTTTTTATTATTATTTTGAAAATATGCAATATCATTGGTGCTGGCACCGGGGATCGAACCCAGGTTGCTGGAGTATATTGAATTAAAGGCGAGCGCCCGGACACTGAGCTATTATGGCTCGTAAATCTGAATACCCACAATGAAAATACCTACAGTAAAACAAAAACAAATAATAAAGCTTTGATAATGGGAGTGCAGATCGAGGGTGGAGCCACTCTCCTTGTCCTCTTAACTGAGGTGGAGTTGCGGGATGCAGAAGTGGTGGAGCCGTGGGGAAAGGGGAATGTTGGTATTGCGATGCGTCGCCCTCCCTACCTGTCCCATTCGAAGTGGGGAAGCGGTGAAACCACAGATCGCTTCCACTGTCGGAGCCAGGGAAGCTTACTGTTTTTTAGCACTTGGTGCACTGACTTCCATGGCATCTGTGCAGTGTACTTGACTGTCTTATGCCCTTGCAAGTGTGGCCGAGTAGAAAGGCGCGCTTTATTTATGTTCCTGCACGACTTGCTGCTAAGGCAGCCAAGGACGGTAGGGTCGCGGATGTGTTTCCCTCCGAATATGCGCCCTAGGTGGAAGTCGTGAAGTCGTGAAGTCGACATCGTTGGAGTTTTAGTCGTCATAAGTCCGACATACACGTAGATATTTGCAGCCCGTTAATCGCTGGTAAGTGGTTAAGTAAGCATCTGATTATACGATCATGACATCAGCAGCCGTTGAATGTATTATTTCTTAACTGCGTGTGGTGAGAACCCCATCAGATAAACTACACCGCGCATTTACATTTAGATATTTTTAATTTTGTTTTATGATGAAGCTGAGAGATAAAATCCTAAAGTCCTAAAGACTGAAAGTGAACACATCTTGGGCGCTGTAGGTTCGATTCTCAGACGGGACAATTAATTGTTGATAATTGTTCCCGATCTGGGTGCTTTGCAATAACGTCCTTACAAAAAAAGAATAATGTACTGCAATAAGGGTAATGTTTAAACAAAAATTAAAAAGAACGTTCTAAAACGCATGACATGTTCACGGATTAAGAGGATATTTAAGTATTTTCAAGATGAAAATGTTAAAAAAAGGACTTTATGGAAATAAAGAATGCTCAAAGAAATTTAATCATTTGTTGAACATTATTAGAATTACAAAAAATGAAGAGCATGTGCGACACCAAATTATTTATTTTTAATAGGCCAAAATGATAGCGCTGGTATCTACATCGTAGTCGCTTAATATTCTATCTTACTATATGTATCTACAATATGTCTTATAGTCACAAAATAATATTAACTAAATAAGGCAACGACTATCCCTTAATTTTGTAAACAATTTTTTTAATGTATAATTTTAAATTAAATTTGAATTTTACATAATTTTCTTTAACTTGAACACTTGAAAGGCTGTGAACATACATAAAATTTTTATGTTTAAATAGGAGACAAGGACAAATTTACAACGTGAGTATCTTTTCACTTAGATACAATAACAGATACTCGAAGCAGTGGTATTCATTGCATATTATATAACAAAAATCGGATGTATTCATCCAGTATTTACAACAAGTACAAGTAATCTTATTCATTACAGCCTGTAGTTAAGTGTGAGCGTGTATTCGATACTCGAATAGCACCTTAATAATAATTATGTACGTATTAATCAGTAAATACTTTTTACGTACTTTTTTTAGTGAAAGTTAACGCTACGACTTTATAAGTATGTACATTTTATTACAACATTAAATACGTTACAATTAAAAAGTAAATGTAGATTTAAGTAGACCGGTACAGAGATATAGTAATTGGAAAATCATCTGTCATACACTCATGAGTGCCTACGGCGTCACAAAAAGTTCATTCTCGAAACCATAACCCTTATTAATAAGCCGTGTGTGATAACGTATATGGGAAGCGTTTACACGAAGAGATCGCTCGCCTGTTCGGCGAAGTCCTTGTCTCAAATGGTGTAGTACTCGGGGGCGAAGTCGTTAGCGAGGTTGCTTAAGAAGTGGAAGTCCGAAGACGAGTTGGAGTTCTCCCCGGCGGCGGGGGTGCCATGCGTAGCCTCGTAGAACTGCTGGAAGGAGCCGTAGCCGTCGGCGCATTCCCCCCCACTTGCGTAGGCCTCGTTCGGCGCGGGGGGCTGCGAGCCGGGCCCGTAACCTGCAGGGGTCACGGCGGCCTGCTGGCTGTAATTACTCGGGTCATTCCATCGTCCGTACTCGTTTGGCGCCGCCTTCTGGCCGTCCGCTCCGTAGTACGCGTGGGCGTGTTCATGCTGCCCGCTCTCGTGATAGTGGTAGCCGTAGTGACTGTTTGAGTAAGCCATGTGGTCGCCGGGGTATCCCTGAGGCTGTTCGTATCCAGGGTGGCTGTAGGCGGCTTGGTCCTTGCCGTAACCGGCGTAGCTGTAGTTTTGATACATTTCGTGGGGATAAGCCTGTCTGCCGACGCCGTTGCTCCTGTTCGACGGGGAACCGTCTTGAGCACGCGTGTGCTGTTGGTTTCTGGTGTACGCGTGCTGTTCAACGCCCTGCAGTGCTGGCCCGTAGCCGTCGTAAGCTCTGTTTCCTTGCGGGTACTGTGCGAGTTTGCCGACGAACTGCTTGGAATCCATGCGGAAGTCTGCGTGGGGCCCGAACTGGCCTGGTGGCACGTTGCCGCGTATGACGTACGGAGGTATTGCGTTGGGAACCGCTTGCGGATGTGGAGCTCCCGGTGGCACGTTAGGCGGCGAGGGTCGTGGGTAATGGCCAAGTGGACTTGGGTGCATGCTGGACGGAGTGCCAGGCGTCGACGACGGCGTTAAACTGACTGATGAAAATTTTCCATTGTCTGGCAAACCTGCAATTGCAACTAGTCCATCTTTAGAAGAAGAGGGGGACACCTTGCATCCCGTTGCATCTAACGAAGGCGACCGTTTCCTCGATTCTTGTTTGATTCTCTTTGCCAGGTTCCGCGGTACTGGTGCGATCGCTGCAGACGGATGCGCGTCTCGCGAGTCGTCTTCTGCCAGCTTGTCGAGGGATGACGAAGAGGCCACACTAGATGCGCCGTCACTGGCAAAACTGTTGTTGTTTGTAGCGCTGGGTGTATTGTTGTTCCTAGTTCGAGATGTTAGCTCCGGCAAATCTTCGGCTGGTGAGCACAAAGCGCCGGGCGGTAGCTCACAACCCTGACAGCTCTTTTTCCCCGAAAGCGGGCCGTCATCATCGAGGAACTTATCCCGCGCTTTCGAGCTCTTGCCGCCTTCTGAAGTCGTTGAATCCTTGTCGTCACCATCTTCGCTTTTACTAAGTGTCTGTCTTTTATGCTTCATGCGCCTGTTTTGGAACCAGACTTTGACCTGGAACAATATATGGCAATAATTAGTAAGAATTCACTTTATATATTCACTTAATAATTCAATAATTAACAATTTCACTTGATTACAGCAGGTCTCAATTATAGGCTAGTAAACAAATATTGTAATGATTTTATTAAATTATGTGTATTAAGGTTGTGTAAAAATATGTACTGAATTATTTATTAATTATTTACTTAAGCGAATTTCTTCTTTGAGACACTAACTCTTAACCTATTCACCCACCTGTCTTTCAGTGAGATCAAGGGATGCAGCAATTTCAATCCGTCTAGGTCGACATAGGTACTTATTGAAATGAAATTCCTTTTCCAATTCTAATAGCTGTGTGTTGGTGTACGCAGTACGAAGTCGCCGCGGCAAACCGTTTTCTGAAACAAAGTTAATTTTTTCACGTTAAATTTTTTAAATTTTCTGTTATGATAAATGTACAACTTTTTAAAAACCTAAAGGTACACTATTAATTTTTTATGTACGTAAAATAAAATTCAATCCAATCATAGAGTTCGGGCCTATGGTAAATAATTTCTTATTATCAATAATCGTCTTTTTATCGCGGTCTATATTAAATGGAGGTATTAATGTTACAGACCATTCCTGGAAACTTTAAATAACAGGGCAGCGAGGTTGGCGTTCGCGGGTGTGCTTTCCTTTAATGTAATAACTTGATCGCATGTCAGAGAACCGCCCTTGACGCCATTGTGTCGAAACGGTACTTTTTATTTTACCACAAATAAGAATTGAAATTCGAAATTCAAATTACTGAAGGGCGGCGAATAATGGGGGATGGCGTTCGCGTGACGGGAACTTGTGATTCGTGTTTATTCGCATTGTGAGTGTGGTTTGCGTGTTTCTTATCGTGACGTGTTACGGAATAGATTGCTTTGATCCGGTTATGTGAATAGCGTGGTGGGCTCGATGGTGGTTGCAGATGATTGACGTAATTCGTCAGTATCGCTATCGCTATTGGCTAGGGGTAGCTGTCAATCAAATGCATCGCTCGCGCCTTTCGGTTCCACTTGGCTGGACAAGAACGCCCCATGGACTGACATATGGAGTTTGAGCCATGGTGTTGTCGCTTATACTAGCCACCCGCCCCGGCTTCACACGGCTGCAATCTATTATACATATAAACCTTCCTCTAGAATCACTCTATCTAGTAAAAACTGTATTAAGATCCGTTGCGTAGTTTTAAAGATTTAAGCAAACATAGGGACAGACAGACAGCGGGACGACTTTGTTTTGTACTATGTAGTGATTACTTAGAACTTCATGTCACGTTTATATCTTGAGAATGATGTTTAGTAATGAAATGTTTTTAATAGTGGATTTGGCAGATTACGGATGTTCTTTAGTCTATGTTATTTTTTATAAGTATATATATCTCAGAAAGCTAATTATGTACGTTACGTGATGAACGAACGGCGTTTATTGATCAATTTTAATTTTTACTGTTGTAAGTTATTGCTTTTAATCTCACTATTTTACATAGTGTATACCTACGCAGCAACTAAAACGTGCTTTGGCAGTGTTCTTAACGAGCGTACCGTACGTACTTTAACAGCGTTAAATTATCATCAGTTAACTGGAGTTTAAACTAGATAGCCCTTGGTCAGCTACTTGAAATACGAGTTGAAGAGGTATCGTTGGCAACAAAAGTGATTTAGCTCTTCGAATGTTATAATTGTCATGTTTCAGCTAAGCTGACGCAAGACAAATGAAGACGTATGAGAATTTCTTTAAAAAATGTGTCTTACACAATAAATTTTTATTCCATTGTATTAAGTTTCAGCTTTTGGTTTCCGATGTACCGCATAATAAATTGGCATTGGCATTGGAACAGTGACTTGGATTTGAACATGTGTATTCGAGTATCTTATGTTTGGATAAAGTGCGTTCAATAATATTTACTCGGTGTTTTACGATGATTAAGGAAAATATAAAAGTCCTTAAGGCTATCTAATATTGGCACTCCGAATCTTGTCAAGAATTTATTAATTTATATTTTCAATTTCTTAAGGAGTGTATACTGAACTGTACTGTGTATGATGAATATCCAGAAGATGCAAGTTGGCTTGATGTTTTTGCTTTTGTCTGTGGTAGAGGAGGCGATTATGCGAGTTTGAGAGGTGCGTCGTATAATGTTCACATTATCTCGATATGCCGCACTTACGCATCACTGAGCAACGCCAACTTTCGGCAGGGTTGCTAGTTTTATTCGAAAAGTTTCGATCGAACAGGTATGATTGTTTCTAATGGATATTTCTACCAGTACAAAAATATTCGGGTAACAACAATCGATAAACTTTACTAATTGCAACGAGTTTGAAACGTAATCTGAATCTAGTGATTGTTCAAATTAGATGGGCTCACGCTGGTTTTTCTAATTTTTGATTTTATAATTACGAATCTCAACTTATTCACACTGCACCAGTGTGAACACATTAAGACCGATATCTTTATCGGCCCACAAAAAGGTCTCGTGAGGCCTTAAAATATTAGTATAAACCCTTGTTCGGTTATAAAACAAGTGGGGTAATAAATGGTTGTTGAGTCGTGTGTGCTTGTTTAACCCTCTGGCGGGCGGGTCGACAACTCTCGGGCCGGGGGTAAGCAGCGGCGAAGATTTACTGCGGATTAGGGTCACTTACATCGGTCAAGTCAAGAGTCGCGTTGGCCGCACTCCATTTGATAATATCTCCTTAGTCCTGACGCCCTGGTACTATTCAATTAGAAAAGGTGAGCGTTTTGATGTCTGTTTTCGGAAATTAATGAAAAAGAGAAGAATCTTTCTTATTTTGTATATTTTTCTTATTTCGCCCTCACAAAAAATAGTGTGCCAACTTTTGTCGCACACTATTTTAGAGAATATATATTATATTTAATCGTAATTAAAGTATTATAGAATATATCGTTCTCCCAAACTCCCATGACATTCATGATTTTTCTTATAAATTAGGACACCTTGCATGAATACTATTTTGTTTCTTATATTCCAAGAACACGATAGCAAAAGTCTGATAATTTCCGTAAAAACATAAAAAGGGTAGAGAACCTTACAGATATCACGACGCATATGTTTGCTATTCTATCCATCGTATTGAGTTATAAACACGATAATTGAAAAGTGTTTTTTTGGGATTGTAACGAAATTTGTGAATTATATAAATTACGTACTCGGTGTAATAACTTGTATGTATAATATATGTATGTATAATTTACACGTAGAATGCTTTTATACCATAAAAATTATCTATCGGAAACCACGGACAAAGTTGCCAGTAACAGCTAGCATTTCAATTGGAACAGGCGAATATCATTTAGCTGACTGAATCTTGGAATTTGTGCAGCTTTCCGCGATGTAGTTGTAAACAATTTGCGAAGGACGTGTGCCGAATGAGCCCTCGGGGCGAGTTTGAATAATTAATCAACAGCCGGTAAGGGATTAATGCGGTGGCCAGTTGGCGGTTGGATGCCATTAGAGAGCGTTCGACGCCCCCACTAAATGCTGCGGTCACATTATTTGTGTCGGGTTGTAGGTAGCGGGACGCTTCGGCAACTGTTTAATAAATTCCCCTGCGCTGTTTGATTCCATACGACATACATCAAATAGGAAAACTCCTTGAAGCCGTTCGAGCAAATGTCGCACGCCACACGCCGCGTACCAAGACAAACTGCCAAACATTTATTTTGAATGTTGCCGCTGCTGCAGCGGAGGAGTTATCAAAAGGGGAGTTTTTCCAGGAAGAAATATTACGTTATGAGGTGTGAAAGACATAAATGTAAAAATTCAATATTCGAACAGCCCGAAGTGAATTTCTCCTCCGTTACTCCTTACTCCTCGGTTGTAATGTCGTTTAAGGTGCTGCGGGGGAACTAACTGCGCATAATAGGTGCGTACAAGATTGAATTTTTAGTGCATAGAATGTTATGTATGGGTAAGAAAGGAAATGCATAATAAATATTGGTCATAAATACGCAATTATTATAAGTTTAAATGTACGAAAACATTATATTTTCGTAACGTTATACAATTTTGTTGATGGCCATTTCTGATTTACAGATTCTCGGCATTCCGAAAGATTTACAGCTTTTGCCTTGTCACGGAACAGACTTAGGTGCTCGAATTTATTTACCATGGCTACACAACGTCAGCACATCGATTTTCGGTTTCTGTAATAATGTTTCAATGATAAAACCCGTAAAATAATATAGCTTCAACATTTTCCAACGTGTTTTTCATAACTCTCGCTAATTTTTCGCTTTCCGCGATAGTTTCCGCGGCAAAATGTACTAGTTCATTCCAGTTAAACCAACAATAGAAATATTTGGAGGCGAGAAAGCAAAATGTTGCAATGTAACGCGTCCTTGAAGACGTGCCAATCGATCATAGCGCGACGGATTCTCATTCTTCCGATTAGCCGTATCGGGGGCCTATTTGACATTGTCGCATCAATTATAAGCATGGATTACCGAAGACAGATCCGAGACGGTTCCATTTGGCAACGGTTGGCTCTGCTGCCTCGATTGTCGGAGGGGAGACGGTATCAGGATCCCGCTAGGATTGCCCTTTCCGCTGTTTTCTTGTTTCAAATTTAATTGAACTCTTAAATACACATACGTAAGTGCAGTAGTATATTGCGTGTATCGTTGTTCCGTCAATCCGCACTAGAGCGAGGTCATTGCCCAGCTGTGGGATATATATGTGTTGTTTTTAACTTGCTTTTATCATATTAAGTAATGTCAAGTAACAACCTATATACGTCCCACTACCGGAGGGTCTCCTCTGTATAGAGGGTATTAATTAGGTCATAGTCGACTACGCGACTCCACTAATTGGCGGATTGGCGGACTTTACATATCTTTGAATTATAATTTTTTTGTTATTATTACGAAAATATGGTTTCCTCAGGATATTTTCCTTCACCGTTGAGCACTTGATAAGTCAGCACTTCAAATTAACAATTTCATTGTTGCCGGCACCGGGGCTACAACTCGAGTTGCTTGAGTATAATGAATTAGAAGCAAGTGCCTGGATAATGAGCTATGACGGCATATTACTTATTCGTAATGTATGATGTCAATGAACACTTTCGCATTGTGTAATTTTAAGTATGGTCAATGCTTTGTAGACTTATGTTTTTTTATAATTTTTTATTAATTTATATTAATATAATCAGCTGGATAAATTTTCATCAATACATAATAATATAAAGTGTTTATGAATTAAAAAGATATCATTATGAATAAATAAGTAGGTATCATTATTTAGCTTGTTAGGTACTTCTCATAATATTGAAGTCAAATTGATGTTTTATTTTCAAATTCATATGATAAACCTAGTTATAATAAAAAAATTATATTGCGGTTTGCTTTTCGCACATGACCGCTATTTTCCAAAAATCTTTAGTGAAGTGACGCCGTAATTATTGTGTTTAATTTATAAGTGCAATAAAATCTTAAATATTGAGCTATTAAAACTAATGATTTTAATACCATTTAATTTAAAATTCCTTCTTGCAAATTTCTGATAACCTATGACTATATATTTTACTCTTATTGGTTGTTTTACTAAAAGTTTTCTGCAAATAAGCCAAGTGTTGGGCCTCAAATCCATTTGGCTGATACAGGGTATTTCAAGTTTTCTTGAGAACACGGAGAATTTCAAATACTTTGACAGCCTGCCCTCGGAGATTCCGTTCTGATTCTGCCAAAGTATAGAATTAATTAATCTGTTTATGCAAGATTTCATAAATTTCGTACACATAGACAGTTCCCTTGTGGTTCATAGATGATCATTATGGTTCTTATCGATTATAACATAATATCTAGTAATTTGTCACATTTATGTGAACTTTACAAATTTTGAAATGAAACTAGTTTTATGGATTATACAGCATTCTATTTTAACTTTGATTATATTCGTTCCGAATACGAATACTTTAGTACGAAGTTACGTGATGGACTGATGCGTAAGGCCACACTATAGGTTTTTAAAATTCTTCATTAATTTCAAACATACTAGACTAGCTTATACCTGCGACCTCATCTACGTTGCTTATTATATTGATAGCTACACCGCATGCTCCACTTTTCCACGGCAAGAAAACATATCACGGAATAAGTAGTGCCAATAAAAATAGTTGTTTCTTCTTGTTCACATTTGCAGACTTCTATCATTACATTTAGAAAGTAGATAAGTGATTCATGAGAAGTACAAACGGGTATAACGTGTCCAATTAAACAAAAAATGTTTCTGGCGTTTCCTTGTTGACTAGAATTCTATTATTAAATCTCTAAACTAAACTTTGCAAATAGACGAATGTTATGAAAATATGTGCTAATAATATAAATAATATATTTACGGCTACTAAGAGGCACTCACTCTTAGTAGCCGTAAATATATAACAGTGTTACATATTATTCATTAATAACTTATACTAATATATTATTAAACTATATATTTGTATAGAACATGTCTTTGTTTTAAATCTAAATTTCAAATGCTATTAAAACACCCGAAACACAAAGTTCACTTGGTAATATTAGTAGATAGTTAAACTTTCTCAAAAATTGCTGCAACGACCTTTTCTATCTTTATTAGGGATTCGATAATAAAGACGCGACTCCTTGGAATATGCAAAGCGCTTTAAGACTGGCGGTATTTAATTGCCCTTGAAAGGGGCGACAAAAAATAAACGGCCCGGGATATAAATAACGGTGCACTTTTCATAATCGCAATTGTCGCCGGGAGAATATTTAGTGCGCAGTTAAAGCAGGGTTACCATATTTGAGGGTGTTTTGGCATTTGCTAAGGCGTTTTACATTTAAACATTGTAAGGCAATTAAAAATTATATTTTACAAATTAATATTTTTAATAATTACATTTTATGATACCTATCCATGCCAACTATATTATTTTGCCATCGTGTACTCTCAGTACACCTCTATAAAATATTTTATTTAAACAGGTTTTCGTTATTATTGACTAGCGACCAGCCCCGGCTTCGCGCGGGTGCAACGTATTATACATATAAACATTCCTCTTGAATCAATCTATATAGTAAAAATAACCGCATCAAGATCCGTTGCGTAGTTGTAAAGATCTAAGCATACATAGGAACAGACATACAGCGGGATGACTTTGTTTTATACTATGTAGTGATTATCTGATAGATGTACCTGTTAATGAGTGCGTTTACTGCAAATATTGTATACGTTAGTTTTACTATAGTGAAACCACCAAAGTCTTAACCTTTTTTATGTGTCAAAGCCCTAAGTCACAGTCGATGTAGAAAGCTGACAATTCTTTGATAAAGTTAGAGGAGGCAGAAGGTAGCCCTAGCAATCCCAAGGGAACAAAAACGCCGTGAAGGTTAATAGTTGGGGGTGAGAGGGCGTATGAAGACGTCTGGTCCGAAACACGATGTTCACGACATGTCTTCTATTCATTAGTCACTGGACCACGACAGGTGGTAGCAGAAGAAATGTACCATTTGAACATTTCTCTTCCTATCATAAAGATACAAAGCAATATAAGAAAGGTAAGTACAAATATGTGCACAACCTAAAATAGTGAACATACTATATTTGGATAACAAATCCGAAATCACATTTATTTAGTTATTTTACCTTTTTATTAGTTACTTTACTACCTGGTGCGTTGCTTCCGCAGAAGTTATAATTTTACGAATATCGTTTGAAAGAGCGAATAAGCTCCCGTCATAAGCTCATATAAAAGTTGACAAAATTTTAGCACAACGGGATGAACGCGCATAAAGTACGAATAAAGCAACATAAATTTTTATATAGGTATTAGATTATTGAGGTACAGATATTGTAGACGATACTATGAACAAAATTATACCGAATTGGATTTGCAATTGGCATGTCAGTTGGTGGATAAACGTATAGTAAATACGTTTACTGAAGTTTGTTGTAACGTCGTTTATATTTTTTTTATTATGTTGATGTGCAGAAATAATAATGAAGATGGAGTGATCGTATTGCATATTATAACGTTTCTAAGCTACGGTTTTTTTTGGATATGTATTTTTCTAATTAAAATAGTTAATCATCAGCGATAGAGTCTGTTGCTAATGATACAATGCGATTTTTTTATAAATACATTTCCTCAATTACCACGAGAATTTCAAATTATTGCAAATCGTAGACGAAATGGAGCATCGGCCTAAAACAAAGAATGGCGATTATGGGAATCTAAAACCCGCAAAGAAGCGAGGAAGGCATGGGGAATAAATTTTATTTATCAAATAAAAAGGATGGCGCGGTCGTTTTTCACTGCGCCGGGGACATTATCGCTCCTTTTAATTATTATCCCGCCGATATTTTATACAACGCCCACTATCACCTTCTGTGGTTAAGGATTCGTTCATTTCCTACATTTGTTGCTAAATAAAACTTTCTTGCAAAATACTCGTAAGTTTATAATCGATGTTTGCCGTTCTGGGTCGTTTTAATAAGCTTATATGGACTTTTTAAGTTACGACTAAACTTCCACGTCCAACGTTATCTTGTAGGGTAATGCGTAATATTCTTTAGATACATGTGTCCCCACGTGTTGAACATACGAAGGCAGCAGGCATCGGACAAACACAACACAACAGACAGCAAGCGGTAAAAAACTGACATGTATTGCACGAAACACGCTTTATTTTTAATCTATATACATATATTAATAAGAATACAGACGTATTCGTATACGTATGGAGCTTCGGTGACGCAGTTGCTAAGGCTTCGGCGCCGTGGCTCGTGGGTTGGATTCTCACATGGGACAAGTATTTGTTTGACCCACAGATAAGTGATCCGCATTTGGGTGTTTGTTACCAAGGGGGTTGGCGTTAGAAAGGTGGCCGGTAAAAAACCTAACCAAAACCACTTACAATATGATTCACATTTGGTTTGTTCCCAAATTGTAAGGGCAGGAGGTTATGATGATAATACATATATTAATACATGAACCCAATATTTTGCATCTATTTTTAAGAATATTGCGTGCGATATTGAGCATCTGTTGTTTATGTGGAGAAGAAGTACAGAGAAATAAAAATTTTATACAATACATGTTACAAATCCATGAAATAATATAAAACGTCCATTGTATGCGTTCATACTGTCAATATTAAACTCTTTTGTTAAAACATAAAGAAAACTTTTACTTGAAATTTAATTACTAGTTATATTTATAAATATTTAAATAAAACGGAAACAAATTTAAATGATAACGATGTGTCATTCGTTTCTACTTAGTATCATACGAGTATAACACTCTATGGCATGAATGCAACATATAATATATTATACAATAATATATTATAGTAAAAATAAGATCAAAATGTGTCGTATTTAAACAAGTCTATACGTAGAGTAGACGACCGTTTAATTTGGATGTGGGGCGGTGCGCCCTAGCCACGCGGCCTTAAGGAAATGAAGGAAAAAAGCGGCGGAAGCTGCTCCCCCTCCCCCCGCTCCCACAACCCCCGCACCCCGAAGCCCGAGCCGCCCGCTTGTGGCTTTTTAAATGGAAATTTATTGTAAAACACTCCGTCAATTCCCTCCTAAGAAGCGCGCTCGAGAATTTTTACCTAGCTCGCGCCGCGGCATGATTGTCCACTTAGTTCCTTTGTTTCCTCAGCGAAGTTCACCCTCATTGTAACGGAGATCCCATTTACCGACTTAAAAATTTTAACTGTAGAACCTTTACCGCGCATCTATGAATTGGTAGAACCATTTACCGCGTATCTATGAATTTTTATGCACAAAAGTCATAGAGTAATTTTTTTTTCTAATAGATCCATTGAATCATAAAATGTGTTTCCTCCAGAATGTTCATCGTCGTTTTATTAGTGATAATGATACATACATATAAATATATCGTTGATTATAGAACTTCTAAGGATCTACCTTTGCTAAGATTTAGTATCTATACTGACGTAACACGATAGACTCGTTTGCTGATGTAACTCGGGAGGTTAATGAAATTAAACCGCCGTTGAGAAATTTGAAACCGACTCAAAGTATTACTTTCAAAAGAATGAGTGGGGTAAGTGAACTTAAAAACGTGCGCCGCGGCGAGTTCATAAAATTCACTCAGAGTGGAAAGCCGGCGTTCCCCACAATTGAAAGCCGCGAGGGAACGCGGGCCAGATAGGGCACTTACTGTAAAAGTTAAAGCTAATTGCCCTTAAGACATATTTTTAATTTCATTGCCCATTCCTCCTCTCAAAGTATTTGTCGGAGTTCACTAAGTCGCGGCTGCAGTCCGATAGCGGGGGTACCGTGTAATTGCCATTATTACGAGATAAGGTCACATTTTTGAATGTCGAACATACTTCATGCTGGTATTTAGTTGAAGACTCTTTTAAACGTTTAGTTACTTTATTTCTTATTTGTGAAACATGTTTTAATAAAAAAGGCATCTACCAAACTACTCGAAGCATATTATTATCTACTAACATACTGTATTCAAACATATTGTCACTTATTCACAATTCATCTTAACCCGTAACAATTGGCTTTCCTTTAATAACTAATTTGTATAACTTAAGTTTTAAAATTAAGTATTTCAAAGCAGCTGTTAAAATATCATTATAAACATGGCCACTAATGAATCCAATGAACAAAACAATTGAAGGACACGTGTCGAGCTTCTAGTTCCTTCAGGAGTGATTATGTATATCAAAAGAGTTCCGTACTGGCGTAAAAAAGAAACAATTGCCTTTATACTCTCGGATGAGTTGGATCTACACGGATCTACATGAACACAGAAGCGGTGGACCCTTACGATGGGTCATTCTGAGCTTTCGCGCCACATTTCAAAGCGGTGGTCGGTAGCCGCTACCACAATGGTGCCCGTTTCTTTGCATTCATTCATTCTGTCATTTCGTTTTCATATACGAATCATTCTTCATTTGAATTCGGCTCAAGACCTTTTTTTTACGGCCGCTGACCGCGCCGGGTTGCCACAATGACTAATGCTGTTATAATGGTTTATTTTTCTTTAGTATTCTTATCACTATTGCAGACAGGCTAGTGGCAAGCGACAGAAAAAAAATGGAATAACGTAAATGTCTGTTTTATGTACGCAGGGACATAGTAAAAATACATAAAAAATATATAATATCACTACAATCATCACTACAACAATCAATAATTAAAGGGCAATAGGGTAGAACTTTATTGAATTATGTTCGAATACATAATAACTTACCAAATCAATGTTGGTATAGTCTTCTATATGTACATTAATACGTGAAACAAAAACTTTGTACCTAATCCTTTTTACGAAAATTGCGCGGACGGAGGAGTTTGAATTTTCCCTCACTTAAAGTTTATATAGAGAAGCAGTGCAGAATGCAATTTTGTTTTAATTATGCAAAAATTACATTAAATCATTAAAAAAACATTACACACACTACCATGTACCTATAATTAAATATGGTCGAATATCGACCACTAAATAAAATAAAAACTCTTATTCATATAATCTTAATTGTTATTTCAAGTGAGTAATATTTGTAATGTTTTCACGTCTTAATGTATTCGGTCCTAGTAAATCTCAAACGGTACCGGATAACTATGACAATAAAAGCATTTTCTTGGTCTGTCTTGTCGGCATAGGGTTGTGGATAGCTGTCAATAGATGTCGCTGACAGTCTTGATGAATGACCGTAACCGCTAGGCGGTGCCGCGGCAGTGCGTGCGTTCCTCTGGTATTTTCACCAAATTTAATTTTATATATAAATAAATTAACCAAACTTAAATGTTTCAACTTTAACTGGGTACATCAAGAATATTATAAATCATGCCTTATTTAATAAACGCCAATGAGCATTTCTAGTTTATAAAATCTATTTTGATTACAAAGAAAATTTAAAATTTGAAAGTAAAACCGTATAACATGACATAGGAAATAATATAGCAAACAGAAATTTAACTATAGTACAATTATTTAACATTTATTGTAGTTAACGTTTTCTGTAAAAAAATATGTTAATAAAATATAAATAATTTTTTGTAAATAAAATCAATAATTATCTCTGAACAAATCCCACAAAAAGTGGTACCTCGAATTAAATGCCTCATAATCCTATTAGTACAGTAGTAACTTCAGCCAAAGCGAAGCATAAAATAAGTTCACAATAGTTCAACGGCTGTATATGATTATTCGTATTTTTGTCATTTAGATTGTTATTTTACTTAACCCTCACTGACTCTATTATTTCTATTGTAAGATTCTCCACTTGGCCCAATTATGTATGTACTTAATATAAATACTCAAACATAAGAAATTACTTGCTGGTTGTCGCTATTGTATTATTTTTAGATGCACCGCCGTCTTTTTTAATATAAATGGTTTTCCGCATGAGTAAGGAAACCTGGCTCATAAAGTATTGGTGTCCCCAGTTTCAATTCATTCACAATCTCAACAAACAATCGGTTCTAATAATACTCGTATGAAACTAAGCCGTCGATCGACGGTGTGACAAGTTTATATTTGTTCAGACTCCCCGGCGAGGACTGACGGCTGGCTACACCGCGCGGCCGTATCCGCCCGAGCGACATTCTCGTACGCGGCGATGATGGACGCGGACGACAAACGCGACCGGCCCGTCACTCACTGCGTAAACAGCATGTGAACAAGCGGCAACTTTTTGAGAATTGCTCACCGTCGAATCGAACGGTGTGAGATGAAAAAAAAAATAGTTGTGGATACCGTTTACGTTTTCTTTTATCTCTCACTTTATTGTTGGCTATTGTCATAACTTTATTGTTTCTATCTAGCGCTGAGCCATGACGGTTTGAATTGTTGACTTGTCACGTGCTCAGCGTTGAAGGGAAATATCGTGGAGAAACCTGTATATTTTTGAAATGATAACAGTTTTTTTTTATATGTGAAGCCTGCCAAACCGCAGAGGCGTAGTATGGGCGATTAAACCTTCTCTCAGTTGTAATCGACAGTATTAATGAAGCCGGTCATAAGTTCGATCCGTATGGCCCTTATATTTGTAAGATTTTTACTGTAAGTAATAGAGACAGACCTTTATGACAGTTTACTTGATTTTCTTCTCTTCTAGTATTTACTGTCAATACTTTCTATTGTACTACTGGAACATAATAATCAATTTGACCATCTTGCACATTGACCCTATTTTCGGTTATGACATAAAATCAGTTCACAACTCGTTTGCCAACACAACATTTACACACAGTCTGTGTAATCACATAATCTGTCTCCATCCAAGTTTATAATGGAGAAACTTAAACTTAGAGGATCCCGGGAGCGTCCAAAGTGGCAATCATAACGCGCTCGGATAGCAATAACTTGGGCCATCGAAACTTGCTTAGGGCCGGGCTTCATTAGCGGACAATGCACGCTGACGGACGTCCGAACTCCGCCCGTTACATACAAGTGTCGCCGATATAGTGGACTCGGGGTGGGCAACTTTCCTCTTGCATATTCCGCCGGCGTTTGTTCACTTGTTTATGGACACTCCCGCGGCAATTTCCCCGGTTTTGTGGCCGGGCGAACTTTTGTCCGCGCATCCCGTTTACTGTCGCCCGATAAGATTTACCGCTTCACGCCGAAGGGAATTTTACTGGCGAACTTTATAGTGTCGACTTTATACGGTTAGTTTCCCAATAAGCTTCCCCCATACGCAAATGTGCATGTATATTTAGAGTTGTTATGCTTTTTAATAAACTTCTTATGCTGTGATCGATTTGGAAGTAACATAAGATTTATCTTTTATTAATATATAAGAAGATGGCAAACGAGCTGGCGGTCGAATGTTGAGTGATGACCGCCATCCGTGGTATTTGTAACACTCGTAGGTTTGCCTCCTAGACCTTTTACCCAGTTTAACACTTGCACTTCACACCGAAGTCCTGATACTTTCGGACGCACCTGCACATTCGTGCATCAGCGATGACTGTTCCGTCACTCTACCACAGTAAAAGTCAACGAAACGCTATTTTTAACCGACTTCAAAAAAGGAGGAGCTTTCTCAATTCGTACATATTTTTTTTTTATGTGTGTTCGGGGATAACTTCGTCATTTATGAACCGATTTTAATGATTCTTTTTTTGTTGGAAAGAAGATATCCTAAGGGTGGTACCATGATAAGGAAACCCAGATCTGATGATGGTATCCCAGAGAAATCGAGGGCAATCCATAAATGTTATAGGCGTTTACAATGTTTGTTTAGTTTTTGAAGTCGGTTTTTTTTGTTCAAAATTAGTAAACCCTAACATCGACGCTGTTGGCTGTTTCTGTGTTTTAATATTGGATTGGATTTTTATGCTTATTACGTGGGGAAATCCACTTTTCTCATTACTAAATCTCAAAACTAGTTATATTAAAACTACTTGCACTACAGCGCCTTATTAGTCCTTAATATAATATTTGCGGGTACAATATTAGTCGAGTAAACTTCACTCCGATGACAGGGGAGCAAACTGGCGTTAGTTGCCCATAACATCGTCCCTGCTCTGACAAAAGGGCGTTAACTGCAAGTCACCTCTATCGATATCCAACGGAACTCATCGGAGCTTCATTGGTTCAGTACTAAAAGTTTTTGCGTAAGTCTTGCGGTTAAATATTGGTCATATACCTAAAATCAAATTTACGAAGAACAGGTTCGCGAGAATTTGAAGAAAATCTTGGAAGATTGAGACTCTTACTCATAGTCATAGGTTGTAATTTATTCTGGTAAAGTCAAATCAAGGAATTGTACCCAGAAGTATCTTACATAATGTAAGTCATAGAAGTTGATGGAGATAAATTGGGATGTTTAAATGTACATTACGAATACAAATAAATTTATGTTACCTAATGGTATAATTTTTTTTAATTAATTAAAGGCTAAATTTCACGCATCAGTGCTATATTTTTGATTCTCTTGCCCCTTTTTAACCAACTTTTTTACCTTTTTTACGGTGGTATAGCCACGCAACAGCCTCGGCTGTTGCACGAATGGGCAGGCCCGTCCGGGTAAGTACCACGACCTCACAGACGACCAGCGTAAAGTGGAAGTATGACAAATACTTTCGCGTTTCGTCTGGTGAGTGAGGTAGCCTGTGCCCAATTTTCAAAAGGTTGTCAACGCATCGTGGTGTGGCAGATGTCCATGGGCGGCGGTATTCACTTAACATCAGGTGAACCGTCTGCTCGTTTGGGAACTTTTCACATAAAAAAAAACAATTAGAAAAAGTTTAACCTGTAGAGTATATCTGTTTATGATGATGAATTTTTTCAAATGTTCATGTTATGAACACAATTCGTGTGATGTAAAAAAACTCCCAAAAGCTGTAAAGTCAACAATGTAAACATACACACAACAACATACCTGATGAAGTATAAAGTGACCCAAACTACTTGACCCGTGCGAAATGTTTGCACAGTACCGTTATCAGTCACCGAATTGTAACATAATAATGTGCAAATAAGTGTTAATTGATAAAAGGTATCATTTATAACCTAGTCTAATGTCAATCAATATGTATCTATAATATATATAATAATATATGTATGTATCTATAATAATATATGTATGTATCTATAATAATGTCAATAGATGACATTATCATATTATTTTATAACACAACGGCAAACCAATCTTATTAAAAGAATAATGATAAAGTTTATGGCATTATCATAAATATTCTTCATAACACGACGGACCACCGTTAAACTAACGCTAAAAACGAAGACTTGCAGACTTTCACCTCAACCTCGATATTTGTGGAGTAATGATACGTCGTGAGAAGCGCGTCGATGGGCGTCATAGGTTTTTTGTGCAGTTGTTAGTAGCGGGAAATCCAGGTGCGCGCGATGAAATGACGCCGGAGGAAGAACGTTTCCCGGGAAAGCGGATCGGTTTGTGCGGGCGTCGGTGCAATTTGCGTGGAGTAGTGGCAGCGCCGCCCTCGCCCCGCGGCGGTGACGAGGCAGCCCGTTACATTTGCATCGCGGTACGGTCAGCAGATAAACACTTCAAACCGCATTCAAAGTCAAAGCCAAAGTCAAAATTGTTTATTCAATGAAGACTTTCTTTAAGCTCGAAATTAGTGAGTTATAAAATCAGCAGCAGTTCTACACATCCTTGTCGTCAATGTTTTTTTCGACGTTATAATTCCATTTAAAAGGATTCATTGCATTGAATGCCTTAGCTTTTTTTACCTTGAAAGTTAGTACTTGACTACTATCTCACCCGATGGTAAGTTAGATGTCATCTTAGATGGTAAACGCACCAGCTGCAGACTATTTCATTGGTGATGGGACAATTAAATCATGCAATTTCTTTTAAGCTTTCTTTCTTGAACTACCCAGGAAGACATTACGTTTAGGAACGACACTTATTCTTGCTTTTATTATATTACATGCCTTTTCTTTGCATTGCATCAGTTCTTTTTCCCTGCCCACGTGAGATAATCACCTAGGTGGGGTCGGCACAAAATGTGAATCATGTTGTTAAGAAAGCGATTTGATTATTGATATTGCGCATGGCACAGAAGCCCATTGATTATTAACTGTGTTACCGAGTTGTTTTATAAATGACTAAGTCAATTATGAAGAGGATAATAAGTGCCACCTTCTTGCGTAAAAACTATCATCCTTTTTCATCGATCCCGTTCTGTGAAGAGAGAAAAACGGATGAAACCATGTTAGTCTTGGTATTTAGTTTTATAACACTGAGAAGAGATGGACAATTATCACGGATTGTGGCCAGCAACAGCCTATGTCAGCTCTGCCGATCACAATCACCGATGAAGAATATAAACGATAAGCGATAAATTTTTAATTGTCTTTAATGTACAGTACTTCGTACCTTAAGGATTTTAGAAAACGGTTCTAAATCATTCAATGTTGTTAAACTCGCATAAGTATTTGAAACGTGAAAAGAAATATATTTAGAGTGCACAATTGATTATGTTGATAGGAATAGCGTCACGAGAACTATACTAGTTTAGTTTAATACTTACTTTATACATCGAGGAGTGCATTTGATTTGAAGAAGATGGGGTAAAAAATGAATGTACAAATATATCTCTCGTTTGTTTGTATACCGTACAGATACCACAGTGAGTCTGCAAGTATCACCCCAGTATTGCGATGCAACATTTCTCTGTTTGCAAATAAAAAGCTCAAATGCAGTTTCACTTGATAATATTGACATTCCGCGGTATGTACGTGGAGTATGTACAGATTTTCGAAATGATTCATATTATTACATAAATTTTGTCGTACCTATACCAACGATAGTATATTAAGCAAATTACGTAATACTGTACGTGAAATATGATTTAGTTTTAAAAATTGCCTTTCTAACGTGAACTACATTAGAAAGACGAGTATCGCAGTTCTTTACAAGGCGGAAATAAGAAACATAAATAAAGATAAATGACGCGATTAACGTTCGCCGTATTTTGTTTTTATGACTTGTGTCTGCGAGTGCCAGCTTTTAATTTCGCGGAGAGAACAGCTTCGATTTCCATGCAGTTTAAAAAAGTAACTTATCAGTTAAATAGAACGGGACGCACCTATTTTAAACTGCTACGGCGAGAGGAGACAACAGATTGCGAAGAGGGTAAGAAAATAAAACGGGGGAAGAAAGTTAAGCGTCCGTGACTTTTCAAGATTTTTTTCGGCGTTTATTTTTTTTTAAACTTACGCTTGGCTCCATCTTGTAGCGAGTGTATGAATGCAAGCGCTTTCCGATTCCTTTATTTGTTTTGCTCGTTTATTTCGAAGTCGTTTTGGTAAAGAAGGAAAATTCCGTAACAGACATTTTTAATGATTCATAATTCGAAAAGAAAGCTTCCGCCAGCATTATTGGTTACTCATACCGCAAATAAAGAAGTTCATTGTACATTACTAAAATCAATATCTAGAGTACAGTTCGTAACTTGACGTATTTCGGACGGTAGAACAAAAGCGTAACTATGGACAGTAAGACGTGTGGCGGGTTGAAATCTATATTAGAAACATTAACAGCGCCCCGGGCGACAATGGAGGCAAACTTCCGAAGCGTCTAATTGCATCGGATCGGGCGAAGGTAAATAGTGACGTGCCCGATCATCCATCACGGATAGAGCCGGCTCTTTGTGGCCACCGACCAATTACGGGCATGAAAATTAAATTCACGAAATCTAATTAACAACAAATTGTTTTATTTATTATGATGCGTGCGGGTCATTTGTTCCTGTCGCTCCGGCGCCCGGGGCGGGTCCCCGCGATTCCCATCAGGGCTCCGCACTCGATATGGGTTTTTTCGGGCCCTCTGCGTTGCCCTGGAGACACGGGCGTGACGATGGGGATGCTGAACGTTGACCTTGGGGCGGTGTCGCTAATAGATCAGCTTTCGTGACGTCACTTGATAGTCATTAAAACTATAATGGAATGAAAACCAAAAAAAAGGAAATAAAAATTTTCGGGAATGATGCGCTATGATGGAGACGGTGGACTTTTTTATTTCTTTCTCTCTTAAACTGACTATTGCTTGATCGTGTCATGGCGGGAAAACTGACGCTGTTAAATTGTTGGTTCGTCATCATTAAAATTCTTTAAAAATGTATACATAAAACTCGCAAAATTTTTCGTCATTGACACGTTTCCAACCTGCACCTTCTTAGTTACGCGTCCAGAAGCTTTACCCACAATGCTAAGCGGTCGACATACTAACCGCGCGAAAATCGATGTCTTGTCTTCTTTCGTTTTATAGCATTTGTAGCAATGCTTGGGGTCATCTAATGCGATTCATTTACATCAATCACACTTTCACAAATTACTTTTTTCCAATGTATCTTTGAGCACTAGACATATCGCTTTTGAATTTTGTTTTGTTTTTGCGTAGGTCTTTACTCAGAAAAAAACTTAAAAATGTATAGATTAAATTGACACAAAATTGTCCGCCGATGCTCGGATCTCATTGATTAATATCGACCAACGTTTAATAATAATTGTAATCGGCATTACTAATAATTGTTGTACCTGCATCTCAGACAAATCATTCGTCAATTTCCAAACTATTTCAACTCAGTATACGTCAACGCATTACACCATCTCAACTATTACGTAGCGTGGGCTTTAATGGGTCCGTATGACGTATGTACTTCGCGGGCCACTCGTAATGTAACCTCATTTGTTACGTTCGTGAAATGGCCGCATTACGTCCCGCCGACAGTGAACACAAAGCCCGACGTTTTATTGTCGAGATTGCCTACAAATGGGCCGCCTGTATCCGCGCTCGACCTCGTCTAGAACGCGCCGCTTTCTTCCGCTCTTCCAATACTTTTTTTTTAAATTCAAAACATTGCATTAAATGAGCGTTTTAATACTGGCACATACATGCTCAAACCGTTGAAGTTTCAATTCCCGAACCATTTGAAAAATTATTTTGTATATTTTAATGACGGTTTATCAAGTCTAAAATTTGTTTTGGATTGTCTTACGTTTTTATGAATTTTGTTACGTGAACTGTGAGTTGTAGTGAACACTCAATCGATGTGATGAGTGCAGGCTTTGTTAGGGAGAGATTAAAATGATGTAAAGTACTTGTGGATTATCAGTATTTTTAATACTTACTAGGTACAGTAATTATTAAGAAGTGACTGTTCGGACTTCTTGATCAAAATTGTCATAATGAAATATATTTCAAAATATTATAAAAAAAAAAATCAAAACGGCCATGTAAGAATAGAGATGAGATGTGGAAGTAACCAGAAGGTTCTTGGGTGTAATAATTATTGTTTATATTGTTGTATGTCGATCTCACAATAAATAACTTAGATATTATTATTTTTTTACAATTCTCTATAATGTACAAAAATAAAAACTTAAAACTTTTATCGTTCATAATGAAGGTGGAATGAAATAGGCAAATATTATAATTGAAGTATTACCGCTTTATAGGTCAAAAATTTACTCTTACCCCAGGAATAACATCGTTGCAAATTTAGCTCTAACAGGTGAAACGGCCATAGTTGAAATACTGCGCTCGAGATACGGACCGCTAGTCCCGCTATCCATCATCCAGAAACCCCGGGGTCAGCAAGCCAGCGACGGGATCGCCGATAGATGCCTAAGTCACTGACCTCTTCAACAGCCTAAATATAACTTGAATACTTTATAATTTTTGATTCCACATCCGTTAGGCAAATGCATTTGTTCAGATACCGGATGGTAAGCGCGATGCATTCGTTGGTGGTAATACATAGAATTTAGTTGAAAAACAGGATATATGATAGAAGCCGATTCCATCTTTTTTTTGAACGCAGTGACAATAGTTAGAATTTTCTCAAATATCATACGCGAGATATACCAGGATTGATTGATAACGTAAAAAGGATTTGATGTATTTTGTACCATTGTAATTTAAAAAGTCTGTGTCAAGTAATAGAGTGTAAACATTACATTACAACAATGATAATAATATACGAATACATTTGCGTATGTTATTTTTTTATATTCCGTTAAATGAATCTGTTGGGGAAAAAATAATGCTCTGTCCCTCATCAGTTTCGGAGCAAAAACTGCGTCAGTCGCGACCGTGCAATGACCTAATTCGGCATGAAATTATTCTAAGATTGAAACAGTGGCCGGGGCGCTATTGCCTGGCCGCGGCCTGCGCCAGACAGTTCATTTTTAATAATAAATGAGACGAAATCAAGACATGACGAATAAATGAATCCAGAACTTGACGAATAAATGAATATGGAATATGATAAATGGTGGCCCGTCGTCCCTCGCGAAGATTTTTTCCCCTGGCCGGGCCGAACGGAAGGCGCTGGCTTTTTCCTTTTGTAGCGGGACAAGTTAAGCGTTTTTTGGACGAGCCCGACGACTGTCGGTGTGATATTTATCATTTCGTATAAAACTTGAATCATTACGCCGCTTCGATTTCGGACTCGGAGCGTTTAATCTAATCGTTAGCCCTATTATTCCTCGTTATGATTTCGGCTAACCTTTTTCCTTTTGTCGTTGGAACTCTTTGACTTTCAAAGTCGAAGTTTTTCATGCAATTTATTCCTTTGTCCGAGCAATTATGACTTACTACATCCACTAGTTCGCAAACATTTATTCAGAGCGATTGCGGTAAGAAATTTTGTGCTCGATAAGACAGCTTAAAAAGTATGTGGTCTCAATAAATGAAACTAATTTTACGGATTTATCGCGTTTATTTTTAATTTTAATTCCCGAGGTTTCGTACCCTTTACAGCGTTCATGGTCACGGGACAGACTGTCCGTGTCTGTCCCGTCGTAAATGTTGGGTGTCGTTCGTGTAAGGGTTCGAAACGTCGGGAATTAAAATTAAAAATAAACGCGATAAATCCGTAAAATTAGTTTCATTTATAATGTGTAATCGCGTAAATACAAGAAATTATGTGTTCTCTATTCACTCAAACAGAGAAAAAGTGTTAACCCCAAAAAAGAGTTTTCCATTAGTTTATGGTAGGAACTAGGTCCATTAGTTTATTTTTATTTTATTTTTAATTTTATTTTTAAAAGGCCAATCAACAACTATTTACACTATATCTTAATAATAAAAAAGAAAAGAAACAATAAGTTCTTGTATAAGTGAACATCATAACAATAAATATAAAATTAAAACTATAAATAATGAAATAGTAAAAAAATAAATTAAAATGTGGCTTAAAATATACCATTCTACTTAATCCAAACCAAACATTTACTGTGGTAAGACACAGCAGACCATTCTGTTGCGCGAATGGGCAGGTTCGTCCAGAGAAGTGCCACCCACAGAAGACCAGCGTGAAGAGGAAGTGGTTTAATTTTGGGTTTGACCCACTTTATTAAAAGGTGGCAACTTATCTCCAACCCCAATTTATCACTTTAGGTGAACCGCCAGCACCCTTGCCACCTTCTCGCACAAAAGATCTCTATGTATCGCTACTAATTGCTATAGGCGTGATTTACGACCTAATAAGGTCTGACTTGTGTACCTCATACAACTTTAAACATAAGTAATTTTTAGTTTTGTCTCTGTCTTCCAAAATCTTATAAATGTCACAGAGAATACTATTGGTATTATGAACAACTTGTAACATTATAACTGTAACATTATCCTGTGTTGTAAGAACGTGTTACAACATAAATTTCACGTGGATAAACACCTGGATGCGAAACAACCATCTGTGGGTCTTACAAATAGTTGTTTCATGTGGGGTTCGAACCCACGACCCTCGATCCTGAAGCCAATACCATGGCTGCGCCACGGAGTCATCCTGCATTTGTTGTCAACCTACCTTTAGATTGTCAACCTACTTATACCAGAAGAAACCGTACAATTCTTTATGTATATCTATACTTTTGTGCATACACTATACTTTTGTGAAATAGAATATTTAAAGCTTGTAACACTATAATAATAGAACAGTAAGTAGTATGAGACAGTTTCTCAAACAATTGATGTTGTATGGAAGCAATGTTTATAAATCTTTAACATTTAAATCGATTGCCCAAATATTTCTTACAAGGCTTATGTTTTTAAATTTTAAATTCGATGAAGTCGATAAAAGAGTTTCTATGACTTTATAAAACACTGAATATAACGCATTAAACAAAGACATGAGTGATTGTGAACGGATGAAAACGTTCTAAGGTTTACCTACGTACATACGCGTTTAAGGCTGTGATGGATTCAAGCGTAGGGGTCTATAATTGCCCATTTGCTGTATGTAACGAAGTTCTTGCGGACGGTAATGAGAATAGATAATTTTTAACATTATGCACGCTCCGTAAAACTTAGACGCGTGACATAAACGACCACGGCGTGGAGTTGCCGATTTAATCCGGCCCCGCGTAAGCCGCGACTGCACTAGTCACCGCCACGTGGTTCTATGATAAAGTGCCCAAGCAGATTATGTAAATTCTAAACTTCTATATCCTTCTCCCTTCTGCTTGCAGCGCACGCTATGGTGGCATCCCGTTCTATGCAATATTTTCACCCTACCGATGGCCGCGCGACTGATGGATGATGCGTTATTCCAATAACGTTTTCGAATAAAGCATCATACGTATGTTTTTTTTTTAATTTTACAGTTTTATTGATATCACATTTTGCATATTGATAAATAGGGCGTATGCTTAATTTTGAAATTTTCTCTTAATCAGGTAAACTCTCGCTACGAATAAAAAATAAACTAAAAACAAAATAAATGTACTCCTGGACATTTACCAGAAAAATGAAGACTTAAATTAAAAAATATACATTTTTTATGTTCATGCGAATAGAATAATTAGATTAGAAATCTGTTCAAAATTTTATTTAGAAAATTATTTATTAAAATTAGTAATCGACTAGAATTAAGATAATATGTTATAAAAACCAAAATTACGGCACCTTTGAAAAGACTACTTTAATACACTCGTGTCTAATATATTCAAAAATATTTAAAATGATGATAAATTTGATAGCGATGCTGTTTTTCGCTTAAATCAAATTTTGATTTTGGTGAGTATCGTCCAGTCGCATATACTCATTTTTATAACCGTAGCACTTTATATAAAACATAGTAATTAATAATCAAATTTATCAATACCAATAAAGAAAAATTAATATATAAATATAAATACAAAAGGATAGTTACAACAAAAATTAAATACCTACATGCAGAAAAAATTTTGAAAAAATTAGGAAATGCTTCTGTTTATATTGACTATTAATAAATTAAAAATGAATTTATTAAAAATAACGTAAAAAGTAAGAAACATCCAATAGAAACAATGCATGAATTTTCAGTTGCGTAAGTAAAATTTTAACTTGTGAACACTCCAGTTTATTCAACGTATTAAACATTATTACGTCTTGTTACTATTAAGCCGCTTGTATTGCATGTTGTTATGTAGTTACGTAATAAGCAGTTGGTATGTTCAGCGCGATGAAGTTCTTGGTAATAATTGTAGGTACATGAATATGTGGGGACAAGTATTTCAAAGTTGTCGTTCTATTATAGAAATTGTATATTGCCTCATTCAGCTCTTAGCACTTCTGTGTTATAGAAAATCATTTGCGAATGGAATGTGTTTTCCATGTTTCCATTATAGTTATTATTATAACGTTGTGTAATTGCAAACATGAAAATATCTTAGTTTAATGACGTTGGAAAAGTTTATAACGTTTTTAGCTCAATTTTATGGAGCAGGTAACTCTATACTGTTTATATTTTAATGTAGAGTTTATAATATAACTTTTTATAATAGAATTTTTATTAATATGTTATCAGTATCTTTAACTCTGATTTTTTTTCTATAATCTCTCTCTAAGACTGTTTCATCACAGACCATTCTGTGTTTGACACTGATGATTAGTGAACTTAAACACTGAATGCATTATTCAGTTTAATTTCTTTATAACATATATTCTTAATTTTAGCTTTCTGCACTTCTCAGAATATACTTTTACGATGGCTCAGTTCACGCTATAAACTTTAAAAGGGATATTCTACAAGTGTAGAGACCTCAAAATTTTCTGTTCATCAGTTAATAAACTTTTCTGAACGTAAAAATTTAACATGGTTCTAAAGACCACCTGGTTGTTAATGCTCGCCATGTTACAATATATGTATATTTAACAGCTGACACATATTTGTCACGATATACAATATTACATCGAACGGAAAGTTTTACTTTTAACTTTTGCCACGATATTTGTTTTGTGATTCAAACGTCAATAAGTGGCATGGTAACTCTGGCAGGTTGCCATTGGTAGACGATTCCTCTAGAATATTATTTGTTTGTGTTTCTATTAATACAAATAGTGTAAGTAAACAAAATTCATTATATAATAGAGACACTAGTGCATGGCAGTTTAATCTCAAGACACTTAGCTCGTTTTGTGTATGCTTTGCTAAGAGCAGCCTAGAGCAGTTCGTCATTTCGTCTGGTCAGAGTAGGTACTGTTGTGTACTTTACTGTGAATAGCTTAGAGCTAATTATAAGCTATCTCGAAGGTTAATAGAGATAGACGGGTGCAGATTATATCGAGCGTACTAAGTTTTGATCATGACAGGTAGGTAAGTGAGGAAGGGGATCTTACTTACCTTACCTACCTTAACTACCTATATACAT